CCTTGGCTCAGCTGCCCCCACAGCCGAGGGGAGGGGCCCCCCCCCCCCCCCGACGCCCGGGTCCCTGCTGGGCCGGGGCCTAAAGAGCTGATATTCCTAAATGTCTGAAGAGTGGGAGCTGGGCCTCCCGTCCGGGTCCAGGGCCCCCGTGGGCTGGTGGGGTCAGCAGCCTGGGTCATTGGCGCCCTGAGTGGAAGTAGCTTGGATCTTGGAAGGGGTGGGGTTTCAGACCCCTGGGTACCCGGGAAATTGTGACAGGAGGACCCAGGACTCCTGAGGGAATGCTGCCAGGGGTCTAGAAGTGTGGCTCTGAGCGGATGGGTCTGGGTCCTCCAGGGAAGAGGGAGTGGCCCTGGATTCCTGGATTCTGGCTAGAGCAGAGTTGAGACTGAGGCCGACGCCCTCAGCAGGGAGACATGGTCCCCGAATATATTTTAAGGAGCAAAATTATAGGCTAGGTAGGGGGATTGGAACTGTGTTCCTGGGTCTGGAACTTGTGGCGGAAGACCCCCACTCCCATGAGGTTCGGTCGCTGCCACCCAGCCAGAATTTCAGTTTGTGTAAGCAGCGCTTTCAGGTGAGTGTGAAGCGGGTGAAATGCAGGCGAGGAGCCCGGTGCTTGAAACCCGGAAAGCGTCTGAGCTTTTGGTTTCGCACCCACTATGTGGCAGGCGCTGAGAAAAAAAGCAGTGAGCAAAGCAAAGGGCCTGCCCTCAGGGTGCGTGGGTTCTTGTTTGCAGTGAATTGAGACTCTGCCGTGACCATTTCAGGCAGGTGACTTCATTCCCGTGAGGCCTCAGTGTCCTCATCTGTGAAATGGAAACAATAATTCTCTCCCACACCGGGGAGGACGCCGACAGGATGTGAAGGGGGGAGACCCTAGACTGGGGGCCCGCTGGTTACATTGGGGTGGTTACAAAGGCGTTTGTCTGAAACTGGTGGACAGAGCTCCCTCGCGCCTTAATCCACGTTTGATTGACAACTGTTTGTTGGGGGAGGGGAGTGGGACCACGCTGGAAACGCCTCCGTGACGTCACAAAGCCCGGAATCCCCGCGAGAATTCCAAGCTTCTTTTCCCTTCCTGTTTCGCCCAATCGCGTTTCGAAACCCAGCCTCTCCTCGTGACGTCAGCACGTCCGGCCGCGTTCGGCTATAAAAGCCTTGCGAGCGGCGTCACGGCTCATCCGCTCTCTTGCCAGCTCCGTCGTCGATTACATGCGCCACCCTGCACGACCCCCCCGCGCCACTCCGTCGCGACAGCGCTCGCAGCGACCGCCGACACCTTGAGTCCCCGAGCCCGACGCCGGAGGGCGAGATGAAAGCGCTGGCCTCTCGAGCCGTCCCGACCTGCGATCGCCCGCGGCAGCCCGAGCCGGCGCTCTTGCCTCCAGGGTGACGCGCAGCCCCCCGCCGGTGAGGGAGGGATCGGAACGTGGGGAATCGCTTGGGTTGGGCGCGGGGGAGCAGTAGCAGTGCGGAGAGGGCTTGGACTTCTGGGTCCTGAGACAGGAGTGGTCAGAGCCGGGCCTCCTGGGTCCGGAGGAAGAGGAACTCCTGCGTCTGGGGAGCGAGGGGTGTTACGGCGCGGAGACGGACTTCGGGGCTCCGACTTCGGAAGTAGAGAGACTGGGAACCCGGAGTGCTGTCCCTGACGGGGGAGGGGTCTGGGAGCCAGACTTGGGTCCCCAGTGAGGAACCATCTAGGGGTCGGAATTTTTGTCTCCCAGGAAAGAGGGGGATGGGGCCATGACTTATCTGTCAGGATGAGAGAACCAGGGACTAGGACTTTGTCCCCAAGTGGAACGAGTACAGGACTTGTCGATTCCCGGGACTGGGACTTCTGGATCTGAGGGAAGAGGGGGCTGGGGAGTTGGACTCTTGGATCTAAGGAAGGAGAAAAAGGGGACTCAGACTTCTGGGTACTGAAAAGAGAAGTGGCAGCCTAGGGACAGAGATGGGAGGGACTGGAATCAGAAAGGAATGTGGGCAGGGACTTTCCTGTTGCTATTTGTGTCAGTATTTTCTGTTGCTGTGACTCAGGGTCATCCCCTGATGCTATTTCCTAAATGCAGTCCAAACTTTATTCCCTTTTTCTCAGCCCCAACAGATGGCCCCAGGCCAAGCGCCCCATCAGCCCATCCCCTGGAGGGATGCCCACCCCTTCCTCCTCCTGTCCCCACTGGTGGGCCTTCTCAGCCGGGCCTGGAGCCGGCTGAGGGGCCCAGGACCTCCAGAGCCCTGGCTCGTGGAAGCAGTAACAAGCGCAGATCAGGGAGAAGCTGGCCTGGAGGGAGAAACCAAGGCTGCTCTGGCCGCCCACTATGCCCCTTGGGGCGGGCACCCTCAGGGGAAGGCTGGAGACAGTGCAGCACGTGAGGAGAATGAAGCATCCTGGGGACCCTGCCCTGACCGGAAAGCCTACGGTTCTTTTGAAGCCTGGGGACTTTCAGATGATGATGATGATGATGATGATGAAGAGTATGGTTGGGAAGAAGCAACCAGTGTCCTTAGAGATCAGGGAAGCGAATATATAGGTGGCCAGCCTGCTCCCCTGTCCCCCAGCCTTCTGATAAGAACTCTGAAAGACCCTTCTGGGGAGGAGGAATCTGAGGAAGTTGTTGTTGCTGAAGATAAAGTGATCACGTTCTCATTACCTCCATCGCACTGGGAGTGTTGTCCAGGGGTGGCGGTGGAGGAGGAGGATGCAGAAGCTATAAATAAAGCAGCTCTCAGGAAGTCATCTACTTCCCCCTTATCTCCAGGATCCAAGCCCAGAGCTTGGCTACATTGTGCAGGGGAGAAAGAAAGAACAGAGAATAAAGGCAGGAAGACATCGGTTTCCTCTTCCTCTGCAGCCTCCCACCCCAGCACCTGGGAGTGTTGTTCAGGAGAGGCAGCTGAGGAGGACACAAAGACTGAGAAAGAAGCAGACCCAGGACCACACCCAGTCCTAGCTCAGAGGCCCCTGCTCGGGGCCTGGCAGCATCAACCCAGTAAGATCACAGAAGATGGAGAGAATGAGGACATTGCTCCAGGGGAAGCTGAGGGGCCCTCTTCCATCGCCCCTAGAAGTGCCTTCTTCAGGGCCTGGGTGTACCAGCCAGGAGAGGACACGGAGGAGGAGGAGGAGGAGGACGGTGATTCAGGAGAGGCTGAGGAGGAGGGAGAAGCTGAGGGGCCCTCTTCCATCCAACCCACAAGCGCCTTCTTGAGGACCTGGGTGTACCGGCCAGGAGAGGACACGGAGGAGGAGGATGAGGACAGTGATTCAGGAGTGGCTGAGGAGGAAGAAGCTAAGGATCCCTCCGGATTGTGTATTAACTGCAGTTTGGACCCAACTGGCGGGGTCGCTCCGCAAAACGGGGGCGGGGCTGACGGGAGAGGCGGGCCTGGTGGTATAAGGCGGGGCTGACGGTGAGGGGAGGGGCCTAGCGACGAGGGAAGTATACTCGCACTGTGGAAGCACAGGTTCGAGTCCAACGGAGACCCGGTCCTGCTTTGTTTGGGGTCGGTGATTTACCCTCTCTGACCCTCACTTATTTGTCTGAAAGACCGGTGGTTTTGGCAAACTTGCACTTATCTATTCACAAGGCAATTGTATTTAAAAAATACTTTTCTAAGTACTAGAGACATGTTTAGAAAATCCAAACAATAAATTTCTCACATGCCCTGTCCCCAGAAGCTGCACTTAATTGTGTCTGCTGGAAAGATCCTTAATTTAATGACAAATATATTTTCTTCATTGCAGATAATACTGTAAAAATATTCACCTGTAAATTTCTTTGGCTACTTGTGAATTATCTGTGGGATAAATCCTTAGAAGGGGAATTGACCCCGCAAAGGGACCTGTGGAAAGATACTGTCAATTTGTTCTTCAGTGAGGTTATGTTGTTGATGATTTGACCAGCAGTGAAAGAAACGCTGGTTTTCCTAAAACCTTTGCAACCCTAATGTTATCATGGTTTTCTGCAAGTGTATTTTGAAAGTTCTAAATTTTGCCTAATCTGGTGAGTGAAGACGTTTAGAAACCATTTGCATTTATTTTCCTGTTTATTTCCTGCAAATCATTTTTTTTTTTAAATTTTTAGATGAGGCAACCCTTGGTTGACCTCACAAATTGCAAGGACCTTGTCAAAAGAGCTTACAATCTCTTATTTTTTTATTATTTCCGCCTACAGCACCTGGTCTTCCTAGGTAGTCTCCCATCCGAGTACTAACCAGGCCCAACCCTGCTTAGCTACTGAGATCAGACAGGGCTCAGATTCTTGAGTGTTAGGGATGAGGGGGCTGGGAGCTGGGACTCCTGGGCCCACGTGTGTTACAGGGGGTTGCGTGTGAACTCCCCTGGGAAGGCTGTGTTTACCGTAATGCAACACTTTGTAAGAGGCTGGGCCCCCATGGGAGGAGGAAGCAGCTATGACTCATGTCAGCCCCAGAAAACCTCTGCCACCTTCAGTGAGTCAGATGGACAATCCAGTGACAGATGGGTGACTAGTCACGTAGCAATCATTTTTGTGTAACTAATTTTTTGTCTGGTTCTCTCTCTCTCTCCCACCTGTGGCCACGTGTATCTTTTGTCTGTCTGTTTCCCCACTCTGCTGGTCCGTCTCCAGGTGCGCTTCTCTGAGAAGGTCTCCATCCATTTACTGGCTGTCTGGGCAGGACCAGCCCAGGCTGCCCGCCGGGGCCCCTGGGAGCAGTTCGCCCGAGATCGCAGCCGCTTCGCCCGCCGAATCGCCCAGGCCCAGGAGGTGCTGGGCCCCTGCCTCACCCCAGCAGCCCGGGCCAGGGCCTGGGCACGTCTTGGGAACCCTCCCCCTTCTCTGGCCACCATACCTGCCCCTACCCAGACCCTACCCACATCCTTTGTCCAGGCCACGCCCTTGAGCCATGCTGTGGCCTCTCCCTCCCCTCTTTATGTGTCTCCTTGCCTGGACCTCAGTGGGAGGCGTGGCTAAGACCCTGTGGTTTGTTACTATTTATTTTTTTTACCAGTTGGTTTAAGAAATAAAGCCTTGATTTGTAGTGAGCAACATCACCGCGTGTATCTGAACTGACAGTATCTACTCTTCCTGGGTCCTAGAGGTAGTGGGCAGGAATAGCATAAAGGCAAGTGCCTTAATAGAGGATAAACTACATTTCCCATCATCCCTCAAATTTGCCTCTTTTCATCCTGAGGCTTCTTTTGAACACGGGCTGGTGGGTTTTGTAGTTTTTCTTGGGCTTCTGCCTAAATTTTATTAAACTTGGGACAATTGTCCTCCAAAAGGGCTGGGTGCTGGACTCACTGATCTCCAAAAAGGAGTTTTGCTCCGGTTTACTGTGCCTCCCTGGAATATAAAGACTCATCCTCCTGGTCTTTACATGCTCAGTTCCTCAGGGTCTTCAACTTCTGATTTCACGTTTACAAGCCCTGTGGCCACTGACTCAGTTTCCTTATCTGTAAAATGTGGCTGACAACTATACATACCTATGGGATTATAAGGCCCCAAAGGAGTTCATATTTAAAACAGTGCTCACCAACTAACAAATATGTGTTAGCTAGTATTGTAATTTTTCTCATCGCCCTTCCTGCATATCATCAAATACCTATCCACGTTTACGTCTCCAGCTTAGACCTCTCCTCTGACCTCATAAGATCTGTCCAGCAGTTCAAAGAGAGTGGCCCAAATGTCCTGCACCCTTCCTGCCTCATACCCTGCCAGTCCTCCAGTGGTTCCCCAGGCTTCTGTCACGCTATCCCAGACATAGCAGAGGAGCGTTTTGATTTTTTGCTGCTTAAGACCCATCTCCCATGAGCCATTCTGAGTCCCAGGAGAGCAGGTGCTGCTGCACAGCCCACTCCCTAAAACCCAGGACTGGGCACCCAGGAGGCGGTTAGTAAGTGTCGCCTATTAGCCTCCAAATGAGCAGGCACAGGAGCCGATGAGATTACCGTACTTCATTGGTTTACTCACACGCCAGTTTCCCATCGAAACTGGACAAGCAGATGGCGAAGGCTTGGAGAGGGCAAAGCGGGAAGCGGAAGTCCATGGTGAACGTGTCTGGGGCCACGCGGCCGAACTGGAGCACTAGGTAGTCCGCTGGAGATAAAGTCAGGAACTAAGCCTAGGCGTACTCATTTCCCTGCTGCGGGCCTCTGAGCTGCGAAAACTACTCCCAAAGTCGTGCGGCGCCTTCACTAGACCCCCGCAAAAAAACCTCCGAGGACCGTGTAAACTACAGTTCCCAAGAGGCTTTGCAACATCACGGAGTCGGCCCTACCTAGAAAATCGCTCAAGTGCCGATGGGAGTAAGTAGTTCTCATCGGTTCTTGCTTCCCACCCACTCCCCAATCCCGCCCTTGCCCAGGCAAACCGGTTCCCAGGAGCTCACGGTCATCCGGATGAACGATCTGGAAGTTCTTGACCGAGGCCCGAGTGACTCGACCATGGAAATTGAGCACGTAGGCGCCGCTCTCGTCGCTCCACGATGGGGCTTTGTTTTGCAGCAAGATGAGCCCCTGACTGGCCCCATGTTGGAGGAGACTCAGTAGAGACTCCTGTTCCTAGAGAATAAATTAAGGGGCGTGGTTAACCTATCACCTACTAGCTTTCCCCTCTCCCCCGCCCCCTGCCCTGGATTCAGAATTTTGAGTGCCCCGTCTCTTCTCCCTGAGACACAGAAATCCGACAGAATCCTCACATCTAACCTTCTGCAGCCCACCAGCCCTCTCCTCCCTCAAGGATCTAGGACCTGTCCCCCAGCCCTTCTGCTCCCATTGACCCAGAGATTATCGACTTTAGCTGACTCACATTTAGTGGCTGGACGCTGATTCTCCGGTTCTGGGCATCGATTCCTGGAATGATCACTGTCATTTTCCGGGGCCCTCGGAATCCCAGGACGTTGGTCTCCTGTGGGTATTATGCTCCAGTTGCCCTGGCTCGTTCTCCCTCCCCACCATCCTGCTCTGTTCTCTCTGGACACTCACGTAACACACAGCGCCCAACTCCTCCCTGATCCGATCTGTCTCTGGGACGAAATTCTTCCTTTCAGGATTCACTCCATTGTCGAAGATGGTGAACTTGGTGCCTAGGACATTAGATCTGCCCCAGGAAGGACGTAGCCAGAATATAAATAATAATTTTTACTGTTTTGCTTTATGTTAACTGCTTTCCCATGTCATCTCATCAACTTTCCCCATCAATCCTCTATATAAGACTCATTTCCATGTTCCATGTAGCCAGTCTCAGCCGTGTGAGCCATGATTTTTAGTTTCCTGTCTAGTTCCTTTAGGCAACTTCTTCCCTCTAGGACCAAAAACTCACACATCCCAACTATCTTCTCCTACTCAGGAACTTAGGATTCCCAGCACCTTGCAGTTCAAGAAGTCAGATGTCTTAAATGCCAGCCTCCGCTCCAGAGCTTTCAGTTCTTTTATTCCCAACCACCCTGAGATTACAACCTGAAAAACTACAAAGCCCATCAGTCTCTAAGAGCAAAACGTCCTAGAGCAGGTGGAACTTGTGCTATATGGCCTGTTGGGAAATGTAGTTCAATTGTCTCCTTCTCCCCCCAGGTGCCTTGCCATCTGTTTCTCACATACTTCAGGGCTCTGCCCACCTGACTTTGCCCACAAAGTTGTCCCCATCCCGAGACAGGTCTGTAGGGTCCAGGGAGATGAGGTAATTAGAGGTTTTGCTCCTTCTTCTCTTGCGCCCAGCGAGAAGAAAGTGCTGTGGATGTGAGAACAACCCATCGAAGTTGATTTCTGGTATGTGGCTAGGGCTAGGAGTCCAAAGACAAGGAAACACTATGCCCCTATGACAGAAGAAAGGGTAATGGGGCAATAAGCATGCCAAGGCTTGTTGGGAGATGCGGTTCTCACTGAAGGAAGCCATCAGCTGGGTTCTGAAGAGGAGCTTCACATCTTAATATATCCCCTTCAGTCCTTCCGACATTGGGTCCAGGGTTTAGGAGAGCCCAGGCAGGGGAGAGCCTGATTGGCCGGCAGGGCTTGGTTTTGGAGAATAGAGAAGAGCCTCGCTTTGAACATTGCAACGAGACTTTCTTTAGTAGATGTTTCATCTGAGAAAAGTACGTCTGGCTCTGAGCAGGAAAAAGCCTCTTTCTGAGAGAGATAGAGTGTCTTGATAAGAGGCAGCCACATTCCCTCCTGGATGGGAAATCCAGGAGGGGAGGGGCTTGGTTCCTGAGGGCCCAGGGTTTATCCCACGATTGGGTGGAACCTGATAGTAAAGAAGGCTGTGAAGGGGCCAGACTTGGACCTACAAAGGTGGGAGATGGGGCCAATACCTCTAGGAGGTCTGTAAGGAGTGGGGTTTGGGACACTGAGAGGGCGTGACCTGACTGAGAAAGGCGGGGCCATGTCTATAGTGGGCAGGGCTCGGTTATGGAGTGGGTAGGGCCTATGCCACCCGGCTCTGTAAGGAGCCTATTAGTGAAAGGTAGGTTTGGGAGCCTAGCTGACAGGTCCTAGCTCAGTGATGAGCAAGGCCTGGATTCGTGAAAGACTTGCCCTCACTCAGCAAGGGATAGGACTCGCCCCAGGGAAGTGGGGCTTGCTCCCGAAGCTGCTGGACCGCACCTTCTGGCCCTCGGCTGCCTCCAGGTAGAGATAGTAGAAAGGGAACATGCCCTTGTCTACACCGTGCTTGTCGCGGCTGATGCGACACTGCACTGTGCGGCCCCGCGTCGCTGGCCGCAGCACATACGCTTCCATGTCCTCGCCCAGCCGAGGGCCTGGGACGCGGAGGGGCAAGTCCAGCGGGCTCCCCACATCGCTGCTGCCCGCACCGCCCTCGCCTTCCAGGGCCTCGGACACCTCCTCGCCGGCCGCCCCTGGGGAGTTCCTCACTGTAGACTGCGACTCCTTTTTCTTCTCTTCCAGGTCTTCGCCCTAGCCCACGCGCCAAATTCAAATTGAGGGACAGTGGAGACCCAGGCCCCCCCCCGCCCACAAACCCACTTGCCAACTACTGATTGGCTATCTCAGCTCAGGGGTACGCCCACTCTCAACTATGTAGTCTGCTTATTGGCCAAACACCTCGGCCGCCTGCTGATTGGCCAGTCCGTTCAAGGGTCCCACCCAGCCAAGCCGCAATCATCTGTTGATTGGTCAGCATTACCCCTGTGGCCACCTACGCCTACTCCATCTATTAATGAGAGAATCCCTTGCTGAAACCAGCGTTGATTCGGTCTAGATAACATATAATACGGCCCAGATATAGCCAACCGAAACTATTTATCTCACTTTCATTAATACCAAAGTAAATGCCAACTGGCCCTTCCCTATCACTGTTTCACCCCCTTCTCCAAGCTCGCTTCCTTTCGGTGGGCTGGATTTTAATGTATATGCCCACATAAATGCAAATCCTCTAGACTGACTTCATAAATGGTGCACACACAGAGCCTCTGTTAGTCCAGTCACAACAGGCTCCATCCACCAGTAAAAAAGACCTCTGATTGGGCTGTAGAATTTTAGCTCCACCTTCCCTAGATTCCAAGGCTAGTCCTCCTCTTCCTCTATCTTGATTGGCTGTATCACCTCCCACCTGGTTGGAAGCCAAATCTCCACGTTCCTGGTCACTGTCCATTCCAGGGATTGTTTCTGGACTAGGTGATTCGTATTCATCTACAACATCCTGGAACTTGCTCTCGTCCTCTGTACTGGACCCTAAGGGATGGAAGAAGACTGAGCTCAGGAAACTTGCGTCCCAGGAGCTTGGGACAAGGTCTCCGGGGCTAGCTGGAGAAGACCAAAACTTAGGTTTTGGTCCCCTGTTTATGACCCATTGCCTTCACTTGCTAGATCCCCCACTTCTCCTATATGCAGGGCCAAGAAGTCTCTGACCATCCTGGGTCTAAGGACAGAGAGGGATTAGAGTCCTCCCCATTGTCCCTTCTCCCAGAGAGAGCATTGGAGAGAATGGAGAACTAAAATGGGAGTAAGGGGAAGAGTGGAGTTTTGGGGTGACAATTAAGATTCCTGTTTTGAAATCGTTGGACAGGTCATGAGAATAAAGTGAAATATCACTACCAACGGAATATTATTAAGGACTAGGAGGGAATGAAGTACTGATAATACTACAACATAGATGAACCTTAAAAACACGCCAAGCGAAAGAAGCCAGTCACAAAAGATCATATACTGTATTATTCTATTTATATGAAACGTCCAGAATAGGCAAATCTAAAGAGACAGAAAGTAGATGAGTGGTGACCAAGGGCTGGGAGAATGAGGGCGTGGGTGCAGTGACTGCTAAATGATATGGCATTTCTTCTGACAGTGATGAAAATGTTCTAAAATTGATGGTGGCGATAGGTGCATTATCTCTAAATATACTAAAAATCATGGAATCGTAAACTTTAAATGAGTGAATTATATGCAAAATACATCTCATAAAAGCTGTTACCAAAAAGGGGAGGATTTGCCACTTGGACCAGGGGGCCCGATGATGTCCCAGAAATTACCAAGTTGTTGGTGGGGTGGCCAACCCCTGCGTCTTGTCCCTGGAGGCTCTTTAAAAGGACGGGGAGAGGCGGGAACGTCCTCCTCCATGGAGACTTCCTCCAACTCCAGATCGGAACTGCCTGGTGGCCAGGATAGGGAAGGGGATGGGAGACTGGGATTTCTGAGTTCTGAGGGAGGAAAGGGCTGGAGATTCAGATTCCTGGGTGTTGGAGAAGAAGGTACAAGACCTCGACTCCTTGGTGTGAAGGATTTCAGGGCCTGCGAAGGTCTGGACTCCTGGGTCCTTTGGAGACCAGGGTTTGAGGTTCCAGACTCCCGGGTTCTAGGGGACGTGGAGTTCTAGGGTGTAGGCGGTCCAAGGGCTCGAGATTACCTGCCGCAGTCCATGATAGCAGGGGGCAGCTCTCGCCGCTGCCATCTCCACCACAGCTCACGGCGCCCAAGACACTGTGGGTGGCAGAGCGCAGATGTGCCTGTGGCACGTTCTCCCGTAGGAAAGGGTTCCCCGGGCCTGGCAGAAGGTGCAGCGACGCCCATTAACACGATGCACACGTTTCCGTCCTCTGGGAAGATCAGTCTCCTCACTGGGCTCCCAGACGTAGCCCCTGATTGGCTGACCACCCAAAACCCTGAGACCCACTCAGAACACCAACTTAATTCTAAGGCTCAAACGAGCACATCCCTACAGCTAAATTGTTGAGGACTCTGTGCGTAAACAATCCTCGTCTACAGGAGCTGGTCTCTGATTACCGAGGCCCCGACCCACCCCACGCCCAACCCCATACATGGCCCCGGGGCTTTGCTAGTTTCAGCACTGGGGTTACTCCCAACTGCATCCACTGCTTTTCCAGGCCCCGCCCCAGGCCTCCCTAGCTCTCCCGCCCGCACAATCTTTACCTGGTCTCTCAGGCTCCGCCCCAGAGCTCTAACAAGCCCAATCACGGGATTCTCTCGGGTGCCACCCCTTAGTTGCATCATGCCCTGCATCCCCGCTCTCTCTGGGGCCCCCACAGATCGTGCACTTGCGTTTTCTGGGCTCTGCCGGGGAACTTTACCAAGTCCCGGCTACAGATCTCCGTCAGGCTCCTCCCCTCTGAGTCCTTTAGGCCCCGCCCCACACTCTCACAGACCCCGCCCCGCGTTCCCACAGACAAAGTCCCCACCGCCAACTCCAGGCCTAGGATCCTGCAGGATCCCAGGAACCTTTCCTCAACACTATCACCTGCGAAGCGCTCCTCCCGCCACCGCGGTCGGCGGGAGCGAAAGGAAGCATCAGGATTGGCCTGAACCATGAGGGGCTCTTGGCGCTTGCGTCGTTGCTTCTTCTCAAACAGCCGCCACTGAGGGAGAGGGAAAGGGGTGGATGGGGGCCAGGAACCCTGCAGAAGACAGGAGTGAAAAGGGCCTGGGACAAGGGGAGGCCTGCATCGGCGGGAGGGTCCCTGGAGTCTAGTCCCTCAGCTCTTCCTTCCTCAGACCCAGGAGTCCTAGCATCCAGTCCCCTCCTCCCCCAGGACCTAGGGGCTCCCGCCCTCCAGAGTCCTTGTTCCTTAGAACTTTGGGAGTCTCATCGCCAAGGTTTGCTTCTCTAGGATCCTGAATTCATATTTTCTCATTTCGCAATTGCAAAACTTGAGGCTCCAAGAGAGCCAAGAAGGCCGGGAGTTTCAGGGCAGGTCACGGGCATGGGGCCTCTGGGGAGCTACGGAAGATGGCACAGCAGGGGTGGCAGGATTCCTGGGCTTGGTACCTGCTGTTCCAGCTTCTGCAGTCTTATGGCAGCGATCTCTCCCCCCAGGGTCCTGAGAGAGAGGCAGGCTTATGGTGACAGCTAGCAGGGCACCCCAGTTGCCCAAGAGCCCCTCCCTCCCTTCCCAATTTGGGATGCTGAGCATTTGTTAGGTCACAGAAGGCATAGAACTTGAGCTTGCTCCCCTAGTTCTGAAGCTCTATCTCCCAGCACTGGCCTGCCTAGAATCTAGGAGTCACAGATCCCAGGGCCCTCCTGGGATCAGGGCTCAGGACTTGGGAGTCTAAGCCCTCAGCCCCTCCTCTTTCAGACTCACACGTCTTCATCCTAAGCTCACTCCCTTTATTTTATTTCATTTTATTTTTTTGCCTACAGCACCTGGTCTTCCTAGGTGGTCTCCCATCCAAGTACTAACCAGGCCCGACCCTGCTTAGCTTCCCAGACCAGATGAGATCGGGCTTGTTCAGGGTGGCATGGCCATAGTAAACTCACTCCCTTTAGGTAGGACCCAGAAGTCCAGGCCCTCAGACCTTTCCTACAAGGCTGATGGTGCTGAACCTGCAAACATCATTATGAGACCAGAGCTGAGTGTGTATGAGCATCATCAAACACAGAGTTCCCCCTCGTACGCCCATCTCCACCACCCCCACCCATCCCATTTTCCCACTCACTCTTTCTTCCATGTATCATTCTCACGAGACATTCTGGAGAAGCAAGAATGAGGAGTCAGGACCCAGACTCGATATACCAATGGACTCTGCCCTCCAATACCTGATCTTAAGCTTTCAATTTTCTCCTGGACCCAGGCAGCCCAAATTTCATCGCCTACTCCTATTTAGGGACCCAGCTGCCTTTTCCAGCTTTCATCACTATCTGGCCCAGGAGTCCAGTTCTCTCTCCCCCAAAATGCCTAACTCTCTCCTATATTCAAGCATGAGAACTCAGGCCTCTGGGCCCCAAACACCCGACCCCCCCGTAACCCCAGACCACCAGCACCCACCTGCCTGGGATCTTGGAGACTCCTTCTCACCTCGCGTCTGGAGAGGCTTTTCACACTCACTCCTCAGTGCCTTGCCTCTCTGGCCAATTTCTAAACATACCCGACCCACTCTTTGAGAGCTGGGGACCTAATCTCTGGGTCTCTGGGAAGTAAGTAAAAGAAGAAAGAAGTTCCCAAGGGAGGGAGTATTCCTACTGGGACCTGCCCTGATCCCCTCCCTCTTGTTCTCACACGCTCAACTTCCAACAAAGCAACGACCCCTGCCTTCTGCTGCAGCCAGGCTACCCTGCTCCAGGGATTCTGAATTAGAAGGGGGATACGAGTGTTCCTTAAAGGGACCCCAGAGAGGCCACATCGCAGTCTCTACACCTCTCACTTACTTATATACGAACCTTGTAAGGTGACCTGTGACAATCGCTAACTTGAAGCCACTTCTTAGGGAGAAAAATAACTGGGGAAACTACAACTCCCGTGAGGCGAAGGGGCCAAGATGCCGCGGAAGTGGACGCATTTTTCCCCCAGCCTGCCGGGAGTTGTAGTTCTCTTTGAAAGTTTCCACTCCTCTTAGCGCCTACAAGGCAGGAAATGTGTCGTTAAGAGGTTGGGCTTCCCAGAAAGGAGGCGAGTCTTTCGAGAAAAGGCCAGAGACTTCGACGAGAGGCGGGGCCACTAGGCAAGACCCTCGGAGCTGGCAGCCAGCGTGGACCAATCAGACTGCTGAGGGCGGGTCCTCTGCGGGAAAGTGGGCGTGGCCTAGGGGACGCACCAAGAACGCGGCGCCGGTCCTAGCCCGGGAAAACGCCCTCTGCGGTGAAGGAGAGGTGCGCGGCTGGCGGTTTCCAGACTCGGGTCCTGGGAAGGCGGCGAAGAGAGGGGCCAGAGGGCTGGAAGACTGAGTCCCAGCGGAGGGCGAGCCGGGTACCAGCATTTATAGGTCCTAGGATAAAAGGGGGCTGGTGGCCTGGACCTTTGGGTCTCAGGAAGGAGAGGCTTGAGATCCCGGATTCCTGAGCCTGAGCGAAGGGGGTGCAGGGAGCCAGGACTTCTGGGTGGAAGAAAATAAGAGGCTGGAGGCTCGGAATTCTGGGTCCCGGGAAACTAGTCGTTTTAAGCCTCGACTCCTAGAAAGAGGGGGGAGGGAGGCGGTTACGGTGCTTGAGTCCCGACTCCTAGGTCCAAGGAAGGAAGAGGCTTGCGACAGACGTTATTCATCTCTCCGCTCCCACAGATCACGCCGCCATGCCTCGCTCTGGGTCGCGAGCAGTCTTCCTCCTCTTGTCGCCGCTGCTGCTGCTCCGCGCTGTTTTGACTGTGCCCCTGGAGCGAGGGGCGCCCAAGGAGGAGAGCCCCGCGACCGAGAGCCCCGTGAGTGGTCCTGCCCTGCTCTCCAGCCAGGTGTTTGCAGTGGTACTACAATTCCCGCGGACCCCCCGTGGCCCCTGGGTGGATACTCCCCCCACCATACGGCTTGGAGTTTGTTTGTCTGTCATTCTTTGCAGACCCGGCGATTTGACGTGGTGGAAAACTGGTTGTGGGGGCGGGGGAGGAAGTGGCGGGGTCAGGGAACAGATTCCTAACTCCCTGATTCTGAGGTGTGGGAAATCGGGTCAGATTTTAAGTGAAAAGTTGACGTCATGCCCCAACACACACGCACCTAAACCTTTTTTAAGACACCCCCCCACTCCAAGAAAGAATCTGAAAAGAAAAGAACTACATTTCCCAGTAGCACCTTGAGCAGGTGTTGCGTATTAGATGACCCGCTCCATGGACCTCATGGGAGTTGTAGTTTAAATTATGAAGGGGCGTGGAAACTGCTCGTTTATTGGTTCCAACGTGTGTCTATCCAACGCTATGAAACCTTTGGTCTTAGGGAATTTGAAACTTGAAAGAGCCTCAAGGCGATACCCTGATTTTTATGGCCTAAAGCCTCCTACAGCTCCCATTACGAATGAGCACGTCACTGTCTCTGGAACAGTTCACGCCCTGCCCCTGTGTGTCTGATCCCCACCCAGCAAGTCAGGCCTTGGCCTGGTGAAATCTTTGCAGACACAGAAGGGCACCTTTGAGTCCTTTTCCCCTTCGTTCATTCCACACATCTCTTGAGCATCTCCTATGAGCCAAGGACAGTGTTAGCAAGCACGAGCCTCCTACCCTTACAGATCAGCCTCGCTCTAGCTCACTGGGAAGACAAAAGGCAGAGATGGACACCCGGGATGATGGTCAATTAGGAAGGGCTGTTTGAACTGAGATCTGCAGTTCGGGGAAGAACCATTCCAGACAGAGGGAAAAGGCTGGGCAAAGGCCCTCTGGTGGGGAAGAGCAGCATGAGTAGAGGGACTTAGAGGAGGCCAGTGTGACTGGAGCAGATTGAGCAAGAAGAAGAGGTCAGAGAGGGGACGGTGAATGCTTGTTGAATGAATGAATGAATGTTTGCATGGTTCTCTGCTTGCCAACAAGTACCACTGTGTCCCCTCTGTAAGCGCCCAGCGTGTGGTCGGCATTAGGCTGGGTGTTTGCCCATGTGATTTTCATTTCGTCTCCACTGCGGGCCTGGGCGGAGGTGAGAGCTGTGGCCTAGACGTCAGGCGGGCTGCTTGGGGTCACAGACCAGACTGGGATTGGAGCCTGGGGTCTGCTGGCTCCAGAGCCTTCGTTTATGGGGCAGGCCTCCTACTCTAAATAGAGATCTTTGGGTCCCTCAGGCAACACCCAGAGGAGCAGGGCCTGGTTCCTACCTGTGGGGAGGGACTGGGCAAGGGGCGCTGGGGCGACTATGTTCATTTTTGTCACCTCAGGACACGGGCCTGTACTACCACCGGTACCTCCAGGAGGTCATCAATGTCCTGGAGACTGATGGGCACTTCCGCGAGAAGCTGCAGGCCGCCAATGCCGAGGACATCAAGGTGTGGCTGGGACCAGCAGCAGGCGGGGACGTGTGCTCAGAGGGCTGAGTTTGGGAAGCACTGGGCTCCCTAAAGGGGCCACATGGCTCCAGCCCGCACGAAACTGAGCCTCGGGAGAAGTCGGTTCTCGGGGTCACACAATGGGGAAGGGACGTGGGGGACACAGAATGTGTGGCCCCAGCCTCAGCATTACCATTTACCAGCCATGTGACCACCCCTCGCTGCGCCTATCTGTAAAATGGGGATGTGATAGAACCCGCCTCCTGGGATTCAGCTTAGGATTATCTCAGCGGCCGTCCTCAGTGAGTGCGTGATGCTGGCTCACCAAGTGCCCGGCACAGTGCTTCCTGCACAAGTACGATCACCTCCGAGGGAGCCCTGAGAATCCCCATTTTACAGAAGAGAACACTGAGGCCCTAGTAGTACTGTTTGTCTGTTCCGTGGGCCCAGGTCTCACCGCCCCCCCTTGGCTGGCTGAGCCCAAAGCCCACACCCCACCCCATCGCCCAGGCATGGTCCCTGAGAAAGGATGTTGGCAGCACCCCGTAAGGAGATAGCAGGTCCCTGCCCCGATCCTCCTCCCCATCCCGTCACACACAGACCCCATCCCCATTCTGGTGCCTGTTGGAATGTCCCCTCTGGAGGAGCCACCAAACACCTGGGACTAGGAGAGGCCCCAGGGCCACGCCTCCCAAGGGCTCAAGAGTCGTGAGTGACAGAAAATGATCTGAGCAATAACAGGGATAGCGGGATCTCTGGGGAAGCCCCAGAGACCTGACACGTGATAGGACACTTCTAGGGAGAGGACACCCCCCGGGCGAGGTTTGAGAATGTCCATGATGCAGAAGTTGGCATGTGGGTGGGTGCGGGAGAGGAGTGACATTTCCGGCAGTCAGGAACTATGTGTGCAAACGAAGCTTCTGGTACCTTCAGCTGTCTGCTGGCAGCACCTCATAAGTGACATAAAGACAGGGGAGATGGGGCTGGAGGGGTGGGTAGGTGCAGGGTCTCGATTGTCCAGAAATGCTGTCCTGGGGCCACCGGGGAGCCATAGGTGGCTCTGAATGAGGAACAGACATAACCCAAAGTGATAATCGAGGGAGCTCAGAGCAGGTGCCCGGCTCACATCCTGTGTGGAGGGGTATAAGGAGGTTTTGGGGGCGATTTCTCCCAAGGTCAGCACCATCTGCTTTGAGCTCTAAAGGACAGTGAAGATCTGGTTAGGCTTGAAAAGCAGCAGTGGGAGAGCATCCCAGACAGCGGGAGCAGCCTGTGCAAAGGCCCGGAGGTAGGGAGGAGCCCTGCGCGTGGGGCCTACACCCAGTCAGTCAGTGTTTCTGGAACCGAGAATGGGACTCCATGAGTGACAGGAGACAGGCTGCAGAGGTGAGCAGGGCCTCGAATGCCAGGCTGAAGGCTGGGACCTTGTCTCAGGGGCTCTGGGGAGCCCTAGGGGGCATCAGAAGGCTTGTAGAAGGTTCCAGAGAGGGCAGAGGAAGGACGAGGCTGACCAGTATCCCCCCCACTCTCTGAACAGAGCGGGAAGCTGAGCCGGGAGCTGGACTTTGTCAGCCACCACGTCCGCACCAAGTTGGACGAGCTCAAGAGGCAGGAGGTGTCGCGGCTTCGGATGCTGCTCAAGGCCAAGATGGACGCAGAGCAGGAGCCCAGTAAGTGGGGTGGGGGTGGGGCAGGCGGGCCTGGCCTCCCTCCTGGGCTGCCAGGTGGTTTTATTCTAGGCAGGAGGGGCCTCCTGGGGGCTCACTCTCCCCCCACTGCAAATTATACATGGACGATTGATCGAATTTTCTTTCTAGAAGGATAGCTCTGTTGTTGGTTGGTTGGGGTTTTTTTTGTTGTTCGGTTTTGTTTTTTTTTTTTCATTTTTTTCTTTCATAGTCATGGTCATTTAAAATTTAGATATAACTTCAAACTTACAACAATGTTGCAAGAATAGCACTAAAAAACTCCCAAATGCCCTTAACCAAAATTCTTCAGTTTTTCGATATTTACTCCATGTACTTTTTATTCACATTTGCAAGTTCCTTGCGGACACCATGTCCCTTCATGCTTAAGTATTTCCGTGGGATTTTCCTCAAAACAAGGACATTCACCTACATAACCATAGTATAGTGATCAAAGTCAGGAAGTTTTAACAGATTGCACTGTATTTTTTTTCTTGCTTAGTTATTCTCTATCTCCCCTGCTAGAGTGATTCTAACTTGCTGGCCTTTATATCTGAGGCTATATTTTGTAGTCTAATTACTTGACAGAGAGGGAGAGAAAGAGAGAGAAAGAGAGGAAAAAAATAAGCCTGGAAGAGAAAGCTTTGGGCAGGTTTAGATTCCAAGATCTCATCCTATTTCTGACATTCCTAGATATGGTTTGTTGAAGTGTGTGTGTGTGTGTGTGTGTGTCTGGACCATGCTATTTATTTTAAATAGCTTTATTGAGATGTAATTCATATACCATACAATTTACTCATTTATAGTGTATAATTCAGTGGGTTTTCGTATACTCACAGCTATGTGCAACCATCATCTAAGTCAATTTTAACATGTTGGTATTGCCCCCCTAAAAGGAGACCCCGTATCACTCCGATCCCCTACTGCAGCCCTTGCGACCACTCACCCACTTCCTGTCTCTGTTCTGGACATTTCATAAAACGAAATCACACAGTTTGTGAGCTTTCGTATCTGGCTTCTTGCGCTTAGCATGGTATTTTCACGGCTCATCTGCATTGTAGCGTGGATCAGTGCCTTGTTCCTTTTTCAGGGCCAAGTAATATTCCGTTGTGCAGACCAACCACGTTTGGTTTATCAGCTTATCCATCGATGGGCATCTGGGTCGCTGGTACATTTTTGGCTACTGTGGACAGTGGTGTTTACTTATTGTCGCTTCGTGGTATGCTCTGATACTGCTGGGGCACGTTTCAGCCTGTCACTAAGTGTGAGGACATGCCCCCTTGTTAGTGAGAACTACGTCCAGCTTCTCCCTTCATCTCTCGACAGACACTCTTCCGTGAGGCTCCCATGTCACAGGTGGGAGAGCTGGCCTTTGTTTTTATTTCTATCTGACTCCATTTATCCACGGACCAAACATGTCCTGAGTCTTGCTGCGTGCTGGGCACTGGGCAAGTGCCGGAGCTCTAAGGTGACGAGACAGACATGGTCCCCGGCCTTCTCTGCTGTGCCGTTTTAATTGTAACAGTATTGGAGTCTAAATCGATCTCTGGCAAATTAGATGTTCCCTTGTCACTAATGAGAAAAATGGCTCCTGGTGATTATCTGCTTATTACATCCCAGGCACCGTGCTGTGGACTTCAGCTTTGTCCTTTTGACAGTTCGAAATATCTCCAGAATCTGGCCGCTTCTCTCCACATCCATTGCTGCCCCTCAGGTCCCCCTTGGGTCACTGCTGTCGCCTCCTCCCTGTCTCCACGTCTGCCATTCTCCCTGTTTGTTCCATTTTCTACCCAGCAGTTAGTGGGATCTTGGTAACACCTATATTTGTTTCTATGGCCACGGTCACACATTACCCCAAATTAAATGGCTTAAAATAACACACATTTATTCATTCCCTTACACTTTGGGAGTAAAAAGTCCAAAATCAGTCTCACCGGGCCGGAATTAAGATGTCGGCAGGGCCGGTTCCTTCTGGGGGCTGCAGGGACCCGTCTGTCTCCTTGCCTTTTCCAGCTGCATTCCTTGGCTGGTGGCCCCTTCCTCCCTCTGCAAAGCTGGCGGCGAAGCATTTCTATTCAGAGGTCACCTTACCTTCTGTAGTCGCATCTCCCTATGCCTCCTCCTTATAATTTAGGGACCGCCCCGGCAATCTGGGATAACCTCCCCATTCAAGATCCTTGATTTAATCACCTCTGCAAGGTCCCTTTGGCCACAGTGAGGCCAAATTCCAGGAATTAGGAACCTGTGAGTATGTGACACACCCAGTTCAAGTCTGTCTGTCCCTCCTCTGCTGAGAACCCATCCCTGGTTCCCCAGTGACCTCAGGATCAAGTCCACCGTTCTCCTTGCTGCCTGGAGGCCTGGCTGGTCCCTGCCACCCCCGCCTCGGCCCCTCCTCTTGTGGGCGCCATCTTACATCAGCTGGGACACAACGCTTCTCTGTCACCTCAGGACCTTTGCCCATGCACTTCCCTCTGCCTGGGACATTCTTTCTCAGGGCTCTTTGCCTGGCTGACCGAGCTCTGCTCTCAGCTCAGATGTCACCTCCTCAGAGAGTCCTGCCCGGACCGTCCTGCGTGAAGGACCCTCCGTTCGTTGAATCCTTTGTGGTCATGCGCTCGTCTCTCAGTCACCTCTTCTCTGCCTCTAGTGGGTGTTCTATGGAGCAGATCCCGTCACCACCTAGTTCCTGCCGTGGCCACAGTGCCATTAGATTCTCATAGGAGCACCAGTCCCTGGTGCCACAAAGGTTGGGGACCGCTGGATTAAACCATAGGCATTCATTGTCACCCTGCTGGCCTCTTCCGAGGGCTGATGGAAGGATGTGTTCTAGGTCTCTGTCTTTGGCTTATAAAAGGCCACCTTCGTCCTGTGCCTTTTCATATCATCTTGCCTCTGTGTCTGTCACTGTGTTCAGACTTTCTCTATTTTATAAGGACACCAGCCGTGTTGGATTCGGGTCCACCCTAACAACCTCATTTTAACTCGATCACCTCTGTAAAAACTTCCTCTCCAAATAAGTTCACATTCTGAGATTCTGGGGGTTAGGGCTTCAACAGTCGAATCTTAGGTCCCCCAATTGAACCCGTAGCAGAGGTTGAATGTGGGTGCTCTGCAGCCCAGCAGCCACTTCCTAGGTGGTGACCCAGACACATCACTTCCCCTCTCTGGGCCTCATTTTCACATCCATACCATGGGATAACCGTAGAATCCCTGCTGTAAGATTCTTGTGAAAAGTAAGCGCATTAATATAGTTAATGTGTTTAGAGCAGGACCTGGCATACAGGAAGCGCTCAATACGTGTTAGTTGTTATCATGGTTATTATTTGAAGCGGGAGACTCCGTTGTGGCATCACTTCCTCCAGGAAGCCCTCCGTGATTGCCCCAGGCTCAGTCAGGCCATCCTCTGGGCCTTCTTAGTGAGTGCCCTCTGCGACTTCCTTTAGAGTACATCTGGCCCAAGATAGGGATTTTGAAAGAAAGACCATTCTATGAGTTGGCCGTTTTTTGTTGTTTTTTTTTCCCTTCTCCTTCATCCAGATGTACAGTTGGACCACTTGAGCCTCCTGAAGCAGTTCGAACACCTGGACCCTCAGAACCAGCACACATTTGAGGCCCGAGACCTGGAGCTGCTGATCCAGACGGTAGCGTGAGGTGGAAGGGTAGCTACAGGCAGAGGATTGAGGGGGACAGTGGAACACAGCGCAGGACATGAGCCCGCTCACCCCTGCCTGGCATCCAGCAACTGTAGAGAGCCTGGTGCTGTCTAATGACCCTCCCCAGAGTCTCTACAGAAAAGCAGACATGTGGGCAGGATGGGCTCAGCTCCATTCAGGCCTGGTTTCAAATCCCTTCCCAGCTTTGTCCTTCCCACATAACCGGAGTGGGAGCGTTCCTTCTGTGCCCTTGTTGTAGGCAGAATAATGCCCCCCACCACCAAAGATGTCACACCCTAATCTACAGAACTATGTGACCTTATTGGGCAAAAGGGATTTTGCAGACAAGGTGAAGTTGAGGGTCTTGAACTGGTGTGATGATCCTGGAATATCCAGGTGGACCCTAAATGTCATCACAAGGGGCCTCAAAAGAGGGAGACTTGACTTCAATAGAAGCTGCAAGGTGACAACGGAAGCCAGAAGCTCCCCTGCTGGCTTCGAAGATGTTGGAACACTCCACAGCACCGAATCGGCTCCAGAAGCTCTGCTGACACCTTAATTTCAGCCCAGTGGAACTAATTTCAGACCTCTGGCCTCCATACTGTAAGATGATAAATGTGTGTTGTCTTAAGCCACCAGGTTGATGATAATTTGTTATAGCAGCCATCAGAACTAATACAATCTTCATCTGAGAAGTGGAAGCTACAGCCCTACCTCATGGGGAAGGCCAAGTGGGGTGGGAGAGTGGAAGGGGACGCCCAGGCCGGTCCCTGCCTCTTCCAGGCTCACCCCTCAGCCTGGCCTGCGCCCTGCTTTTCTGGCCTACTGGAGCTCCATCTAGTGGCTGTGAAGATAATAGCAGCAGCCTTTTGATTGCATCGTCTCTGGGCGCTTGGCTCAGTCCCTAAGTGGTGTTCTTTGTCACTAATTTCCAGAACATTCCAGAAACTGCCCGCTTTCCCCCAGCCCCGGTGTCATCCTCCTGGTCTCAACCCCCAGCATCTCTCGTAACCGCTTCCTCACCGGGCACTTTCCTCCACGCTGGAGGGCAGGGTTTCACAAACTCAGCCCTCTTGTCCTTTGGGGCCAGATAGTTCTTTGTCATGGGGGTCGTTTGTGCATCGTATGATGTTTAGCAGCATCCCTGACCCATGTGCATTAGATGCCAGTAGATGTCCCCCACTTGTGACAACCAAAACTGTCTTTAGACATTGACAGTCTTCCCCTGTGGGCCACAATTGCACATGGTTGAGAACCCCTGCTGGACCATCTGTTCAAACAATATGAATTCACTGTCCTACAGTGTAAGACAGAAGTCAAGAAGGGTCTCCTGAGGCTGCCATAACAAAATGCCACAGACTCGATGGCTCAAAACAACAGAATGTATCCTCTCACAGTTCCAGAGGCCAGAAGTCCAAAATCGGTATCGCTGGGCTGAAACCAGGGTTTGGGCTGGGCTGGGCTCGCTTCAGAGGCTATAGGGGAAAACCTGCTCCTTGCCTCTCCCGACTTCTGGAGGCTTCTGGTATTCCTTGTCTTGCAGACACATCATTCCAGCCTTGGCCTCCATCATCACGTGGTGTTTTCCTGTCTCTCTGGTTCTTTGTAGCCTTTTTATAATGACACCAGTCATTGGATTTAGCGCCCACCCTAATCCAGAGTAGGACTCCATCTTAACTAATTACACCTTAAAGACCCTATTCCAAATAATGTCACCTTCTGAGGTTCTGAGTGGATGTGAGTTTTACGGGGACACTATTCAACCCAGTATAGTATTGTCATCTCTGTTTTACAGAGGTGGAAATCGAGGCACAGAGAGGCTGAGTAACTTGCCCAAGATCACACAGTTAGTGGGATTTGTTTACACAGCAGAGCCCAGATTTGAATTCTGGGTAAAATAATTAGAGACCTCATGCTCATTAACGCTTAGCCTTAGTGTTTTTCATGTAAAGTTCACCTCCTGTATTCTTACTTATTCCTCCAAGATCCTGAGATTGTGGAGGACTTAAAAGAGCTGGGTTGCTAATGTGTCATCATCCTAATCTCTTCTGAACAAAGAGAGGAGGCCAGAGTAGGTCAGAGAGACCAAGAAATGAGACCCAGGACAGGGTGGAGGTTGGGCCAGGCTCAGAGTCAAAGGCCTGGCGTTTGGAGGTTGGATTAGGGGTTGGACACAGGTGAGACAAGAGTGGCCGTGTGCCTTTCCCCAGGCCACCCGCGACCTTGCCCAGTACGACGCGGCCCATCACGAAGAGTTCAAACGCTACGAGATGCTCAAGGAACACGAGAGACGCCGTTATCTGGAGTCACTGGGAGAGGAGCAGCGGAAGGAGGCAGAGAGGAAACTGGAAGAACAACAGCGACGGCACCGAGAGCACCCCAAAGTCAATGTGCCTGTAAGGACCCCGATCTGTGCCTACCCCCCGACCATGTCCAGCTCTTTAAGCTCCACGAGATAGGGACGTAACTGAAAAACTACAATACCCAGCAGATCCTGGGGCAAAAAGTCCCCTCTACTATATCCAGCTACCCCCCAGGGGATGCTGGGAGTTGTAGTTTCCTTACTCGAGGGGCAAGACATTTGAGAGATGGGGATAAAGGGTTCTCTAGCTTTTTCCCATAGGACCCAGCCTTCTTGCTCATGAGCCCCTGGCTCTCCCCTCCACAGGGCAGCCAAGCTCAGTTGAAGGAGGTGTGGGAGGAGCTGGATGGATTGGACCCCAACAGGTTTAACCCCAAGACCTTCTTCATACTGCATGGTAAGGTGGGGAGGGAGTCCCAAGACCCAGGCTGAATTCTGAGGCTCTGACTTTTCGGGGGCCTGAAAGCTAAGGAGGGGTCTCCCCATCTTCTTGGGACTTAGGCAGGCCAAGGAGGTCTGAACCTCTCTTCCCTGGTGGTCTAGATTGCTAGAATCTTCCATGGAAGAACCACTGAGCTCTAAGAACGGGCCAGTATCTTCTAACCAAGCGAACCAGACTTAGCTAGGCCTGGGTCCCCTCCCAGAGGCCCTGGTCCCCGCCAGGAGCGCTGTCACTAAGGGCGGGCTGCTCCCTAGTAACCAGGCCTCTAGGGAGCCCCTTCTCCACGGTGATTAAGAGCCGTTCCCCTGCATTCTATTCCTATCCACAACGTAGTCTGGGTTTTGCCAGGCCCCCTCAGATGTGCCCAGGACCCCAACCCAGAAGCTGTCAACAGAACTTAGCAGGGCCCGGTTCATTCAGTAAATGTTTACTAAGCGACTTCTAAACACCAAGCTTCATGGAGACCCCGTGGATACATCTGTGAACAAAACAAAGTCTCCCTCACCCCCACACACATACAGAGCCAGTGATGAGGCAAACAGATCATTCCATATTCCAGTGAACCTAAGAGACGGTGGGGGTGTGAGATACACTAAAATTTTTATACTTGCTACTAATTAAACTGACAAACCATTGACGATAAGATGCCTCTTGATTTCAGGGGTGAAAGAATATAGGGGGAGTACATCTCAGAATAAAGAAAGTAGGTTCTACAGTAGTCTCAGGTAGTGACATGGACCATGGAGATGAGGACAGCAGGATTAAAGGCCTAGAGTGACGGTCCTGGGTAGCCTGGTCAGGAAACGTTTTGCTAGACCAGCATTGTCCAGTAGAACCTTCTCTGCTGACGGAAGTGTTCCTCATCCGTGCTGTCCAGCACCGCAGCCACCAGCCCATGTGGCTATTCAGCACTTCCAGTGTGGCTCTTAGGACTAAGGAACTGAGTTGTTTTTTGTTGTTGTTTTTTTTTTTTTTTAGTGTTCATAAAAGTTTTAGGATTTGTATTTCTGGTAAAATACACATAAAATTCCCCATCTCAGCTGTTTTAAAGTGCACAGTTCAGTCTGTTATGTACATTCTCACTGATGTACAAACAAGAAGAATGTTCTTCCTCCTTATGGAACCGAAACTCTATTAACCAACAACTCCCCGTTACCCCTCCCCCCGCCCCTGGTAACGTGTATTCTTGTTTCTATCTCTGTGAATCTGATGACTCCAGCTAGCTCATACAAGTGAAATCGTATAATGTTTGTCTTTTTGTGGCATAATGTCGAGGAAATGAATTTTTCACTTGATTAAGCTAAATTAATTTGCCCCATGTGGCTAGTGACTCTGCTGGATCAGAAAGCATAGCCATAAGGCGATGACCTTTGAACAGAGAGAACTCAGTGAAGTGAGGGGTTGCACCTCGCAGATGTTTGGGGGAACAGCACTCGGGGGACAGCAGAGGACACACACACACAGGGAAGAATGGACTTGGTCCGTCCAAGGTCACAGCCAGGGTAAGGAATTTGGATTTTGTTCTGTCTGTGGTGGGACACCACAAAAGGGTTTTGAGCAGAAGGCTGACGTTATCTGCCTGATGGTGACAGACTTCATCTGGGTGCCGTGTCAAGGACAGATTGTAGGGGTGAGGGCCGAAACCTGGGGCCTAGTTAGAAAGCACACGGTGCTGATGGCTGGACCATGGGAAGGAAGAAAGAGCTTTCAGATTCTGGGTTCATCTTGAAGGTCAAGCTGGTGGGACTTGCAGATGGACTGAGGAGGATTATCAAGGAACGAAAGAGTCCAGGATGACTCCAAGGTATTTGGCCTGAGCAGCTGGAAAAGGGGAACAGAGAGGACATGCTTGTTTGGCAGGGCAGGTTGGGAGCTGGGTCTATGTGAAGGCAGAGTTGTCTATTACACATTTACGTGGAGATAGAGTTAGTAGTTGGATAGTCAGGCAGATGGCATTGAAAGCTGTGGGACTGGAGGGACCCACCTAAGGACGTGCTGGCCAATCGTGCTGTCTTTGTTTGATGGAAAATGTTCTGTGCCACCCAGTATGACAGCCACCAGCCACATAAGGCTGTTGAGCACCTGACTTGTAGGAAGTTGGACTAATTAACTGAAATTTTGATCTTATTTTATATGAATCAATTAAAATTTAAACAGCCCATGCGGCCACCGTATTGGACGGATTTGAAGATTAGACAGAGAAGAGGCCCCAGGCCAGAGCCCTTGGGTGCACCAAGCTGTAGAGGTCAAGAGGAAGAAGAAGCCAGCAAAGGAGGAAGAGGGGTGGCTGGAGAGGAGAGAATGATGTTCTGGAAGCCACAGGCAGAAGGTCAAGTGAGACGCGGGCTGAAAATGAACCGTTAGTTTTGCAGCGTCAGGGGTTCCGGCCACCTCAGCAGGACCAGTGTGGGTGCGGATCTGAGGGAGCAGAGGAGGCGGGGACAGTGAGCCTGGCCTTGCGGCTCGATGAGCTGAATTGGCAGGGAGAGGCTCCTCTGACAACTGGAGTTGGCCCGGGCCTGGTTACCTGGGGAGGCAGAGGCCCCAACACCCCCTAGATCCTGGGCAAAGGGGTTGACCCTGTGCCCACATTACCAAGTGCTGGGATCAAGTCGTCCTATAGGATAGTGGCCCCAAGAATGGTCTCAGTGAAGCCCCACCTTCATCGAGGCCATTCCGGGACCCTGGTTGGTAGGTAGGAAATGAGCTGTGCCGGCCACGGGTCTATGGGAGCTGAAGCCTGGAGTCTTTCATTCTGCCGCCGGACACTCGTTGTTACCTGTCCTCTAAAAGAGACCCCACATCAGCCCGAATTTCTTCTTTAGCTCGTCTTTCTGGGACCTGATGCACTCTGTCCTCAGTCCCCCAAAATACCTTGTTGTCTCTCCCTCAGATATCAACAGCGATGGTGTCCTAGATGAGCAGGAGCTGGAGGCCCTCTTCACCAAGGAGGTCAGTGCCTTGGAAGGGACGCGTGCAAGGGACGCTCAGAGCAGCTATACGTCCCCTCGGGGAGCCTAGTGGTCCCCTTAGGTACCCGTGGATGTGAGTTATGGGAAAACTACAACTTCCCAGCATCCCCTGGAGCAAAAAGAGGCTTCCAGGAGAGGCAGGGTGCCCCAAGGACTGATGGGAGTTGAAGTTGTCTGGTGCTGTGTGCAAGGACGTGGAGGTAGCCTAGGGAAGAGGTCGCCCTGGACTGCTCAATATGCCTCGCCTCTCGCTTGACCCGGCAGCTGGAGAAGGTATATGACCCGAAGAATGAGGAAGACGACATGCGGGAGATGGAGGAGGAGCGACTGCGCATGCGGGAGCACGTGATGAAGAATGTGCGCGGAGCCCCGCCGCGCGGGAGGGTGGGAGCGGGGCGCAGGGAGGCCCAGCCGTGTCGCTTACTCTTACCCGGCTCCCCAGGTGGACACCAACCAGGACCGCCTCGTGACCCTGGAGGAGTTCCTCGCATCCACCCAGAGGAAGGAGTATGGGGACACCGGGGAGGGCTGGGAGGTGAGGACATGGAGAATTCAAAGGTCCTGAATGTGTCTCGCTCCCAGCCCTAACCCTTCTTTCCGAGTTCCCGGCCACTTCTCTTACTCTCTGGGTCTCTGTCCTGCCCAGTCTCTGATCTTTGTCCCCGTCCCCAGCTCCCAGTCCGATCTCTCCCATCCATACACATGGCCCCGGCCTCCCTCTAAACCTCTAAACCTCTGCTAACAGTCCCCTGCAACATGGGTGGCGGGGAGGGCATGGCTGGAGTCGCCTGCTGATGGCCCCTGTCCCCACCCCGACAGACGGTGGAGATGCATCCTGCCTACACGGAGGAAGAGCTGAGGCGTTTCGAGGAGGAGCTGGCCGCCCGGGAGGCAGAGCTGAATGCCAAGGCCCAGCGCCTCAGCCAGGAGACAGAGGCTTTGGGGCGCTCCCAGGACCGCCTGGAGGCCCAGAAGAGAGAGCTGCAGCAGGTGACCCACTGGGGAAGCTGGGCCCATCCTCCACGCCGCTGGCGGCCCTTGTCCTTGTGTGTGCAAAGGCTGGGAAGGCCTGTGATCTCTGTGTGAATCACTGGTAGAGCCTCAGGTGCTGACTGCCATCTTGAATAAGGGCGGACGTTGTCCCCACCCCTGACCGCTCTTGGACCGCCATGCTGGATAAGGGCAGGCGCGGGTGCCGTAAGAGGGAGAGGGGGTGAAAAGGCCCAGGAGGGAGGAGCGGGGTAGACTTGGTGAGGGTTCAGTGAGGGCTTCTCTGTCCCAAGCTGTGACCCAAGTCATGATGGGGGACGAGAGGTGGGGGCGTGGAGAGAACCGGATGTCTGTGAGGAAGCCCACTTGTCAATGAGGGAGAAAAGCTGAGGCCCTCAGAGAAAGGACTGAGCACTCAGTGGGTTGTGGAGACTCAGCATCATGGCGGCACTGTCCTCTGCCCCCTGCAGGCGGTTATGCAGATGGAGCAGAGGAAGCAGCAGCAGCAGCAGCAGCAGCAAGGCCACAGCGACCCAGCCCCCGGCCCTGAGGGACAGCTCAAGTTCCACCCTGACACAGGTGCTGGCCTCTGGGCCCAGGGAGGAGGGAAGGGACTGGGAGGACGGGCTGGGGGTCGGGACTCCTGGATGGGGTTGGGTCGGGGGAGGAGGGGCTGGGGTATCTAACGCTACCATTTCCTCTCCATTTCCAGACGATGCTCCTGTTCCAGCTCCAGCCGGTGATGTGGCTGCTTCAGAAAAGAAGGTTCCTGAACAGCCCCCCGAGCCGCCTCAGCTGGATTCTCAGCACCTGTGACCCCAGAACCCCAGCACTCTGGTTCCGGCTGACGCAGCTGATGGGAGGAGAGCGAGGTGTCACAGTCAACCTCCTCTGGAGATGGCGCGTGTGGCCTCGTAGGGGAAGGGGACAGAGTGGCTCTTCCCACATTGCTGCCTGGGCCTCCTGTCTGCCTCCTCGACTTCCACGGCCTCCCAGTCTGCAGTCCCTTCTCTCTGTCCTCCTCCAAGGGACCTGCCTTCTCGTGTCCATTTGGACGCTCACCCGTAGGGTCGGCCTGGCTTACGGACGCCCCCTCCCTTCCGAGGGGATCGGCCGTGTGCCCGCCTTCCCAGGTGGTTTGGCCTCGCTGCCCCAGGTCAGGCCGCTCCAGCATCCTGCATCCCACAGCTGCCAGAACCCTGCCTCCCGCTCTGGGCCCCATTTCTGTCGGTTTATGGGGCTTGGGTGGTCCCTCAAGACCTTTCTCTACCTTTTGTGGGACCAGCTAAACCTCAAACACAGTGTCTTCTCCATGGCCGGATCAAGGGGCAGTAGAGTCCTCAGCAGAGCTGATGTCAGGAGCCCCAACTGTCCCTGAGCCCTGGCTTCCAGCCACCTCGGCCTCGGCCTCCTCCCTGGTGGCTTGGCCCCTCATCCCTTCCCCACACAGAAGGGTCCCGGAGCTGACCCCACACAGGATCAGCTTCCAGCTCGTCAGCCTCCCCGGGAGGTCCTACTGCTTTCTGGCCTTAGCCCACACCGCTGCGTGTCCTGCTGTGTACTCCAGTCCCATCCAAATACATTTTCTGGAACAAATCCACGCCTCTGTTTCTTTGTGTATACTGTTCCCATCCCCACTCCACCTTCCAGAGTCCTCCTCGTGCTTTAAGATTCCATCGAAGCATCGTTTCTGAGAGGCTCCCTCCTGGCATCTTTCTGTCCTTTTCCGATGAGTCTGCCGTGTGCACGCGTACACACACCTTCATCGCGAGGACAGGAAACCCAAACCCAGGCTTGAACAATAAAGAAAAGTGCATCGGGACAAGAAATCTCAAAGTAGGGTGGCTCCGAGGCCTTGCGGGAACTAGGTTCTCCCATCCGGCTCTGCCACGGTAGGTGTGGGGGCTGCAGCTGCTCTGCACGTCACACTTGTCTGCGCCAACAGCTAATGAAGGAAATTGGCAGAGGGTACATATTAGAGGCCGTGCATCCCCCCAGAGCTGGTGTACCAACATCCCACCAGATGGCGACACAGGTCTAGTTCGGTGTAAGGGAGGACCCGATGATGATGATCTCAGAGGCTCATCAACAACACATATTCCCAAACCTAGGAATGTCCAGGGGAGGGTCCCAGGATGTTAGCCATGCCTCCCCCACCCCCAGCGGAACTGCAGTGACAATAACAGCAAACATCAGCTCTGTGCTTCTCTTGGAAACCTGGTGGCTGAATTCAGTGCCCCAATCTGAAAAATGGGCCTCAAATGACAGTAGACTTCTGGTATTCTTGAAGGGTTTGATAATAATACCATGAATGGCATGGCTCCTGGCCAGAAATTGGTCAGCAGCGGTAGCTATTATTATACGGACACGTTTCTAGAACCAGAGTTTCGGGGAACCTGCCCTGACTCCCCATATCTACGGAGACTCATTCCAGTGGCCCAGGATGCTTTTCACGATTTGCAATTCTTCGTTTGAAGGTGTGTCTGCTTGGTTGCTCTCTGTCTCCCCCAATAGACTCCAAAAGGATCAAGGAGAAGGAGGCTCATGGTGTCTCAAGTTCACTGCCCTGTACAGCAGAGCGCCCTACACATGGACTAGAATGGAGTCACATCCGCCCTGGAGCAACCAGCACCCTCCCTGCCTCCTGCCTGAGCTTTCATTCTAGTCTTAAAGGGACAGAATTAAAGTGACCCTTTATGTTTCATCTGAAAGTGATTTCCATTTTGACCTGCAATGGTTTTAAAATGATTACTCTCTCTTTGGAACATCTGTCCATTAAGAGCTCCAGCTCCAGCTGTAGACAGGGCTTGGAGCAGATAAAGAGGGAGGATTTGGGAGTCTCATGGAAGAGACGAAAATGAGGAGTCACAAATCGGGGATCCCTGCAATTCCGACTCTGCCTTCACCCCATCATCTGAGTCTCTGTTCCCCTCTGTATTTACCGGGTGTTTCTGAAGTTCTGACATCCGGGGCCTTGCAGATGCTGGAGGGACTGCCCGCCCCCCCAGGGTAGGCCAGTTGCTGGATGTGGCAAACTAGTCACCTGCTGGTGAGTGTACCTTCCCTATGCAAACTGACCAATGCAGAGCCCATACCCCAGTCGCCTCCTATATCAGGCTCCAACAGTCCTGGGTGACGTTCTCCTGTCCTAATCACTCTAAGCCAAGTGCCGGACAACTTGGGACAGTCCCTTCTCCCCAGAACCTGCTGAAATGTTCCAGACTAGCCAGACCTAAGCTAAACCTGCTTACCTCTCCATGTCCGTTCCTTTCCACAGGAGCCATAATAAGGTTCTTGCCCACGTTGTCCCCTCACTGCTGCCCCTGAGGGGCCCTGGTGCTTCCCCGTGTGGCCCAGCATAGCATGGCCGCCCCTCCTCTTGGGACCTGTAACAAACTATCTTCAGTGGCGCTAGTCTCCTGACCTGTCGGCCTCGCCATACCTGAATAAGACTAAATCTTCCACTTGCTAAATACTCTCTCTCTGGGGCTCTGTGGTAGACAGAATAATGGCTTCTCGAAAATGTCTGTGTCCTCATCCCCAGAGCCTGACTATGTAGCCTTCTGAGGCAAAAGGTACTTTGCAGATGGGATTAAAGTAAGGCTCTCGAGATGGGGAGATGATCCTGGACTATCCAGATAGGCCCAATGTAACCTCAAGAATCTGCGTGACAGAGCAGGAAATGTGACCACAGAAGGTCAAAGGGATGCAGGATCACGAGGCGAGACATGCGGGTGGCCTCTGGAAGCCGACAAAGGCAAGGAAATAAATTCTTCCCTCGGAGCCTCCGGAAGCAACGCGGCCCTGCTGACATTTTGATTTCTGCCCAGTGATTCCCTTTTTGGACTTCTGATGTCCAGAAGTGCAAGAGAACACGTCTGTGTCGTTTCAAGCCACGAAATTTGTCATTGTTTGTTACAGCAGCTGCAGAAAACTCATACAGTCTTCTTCCTTCTCCCTCGGGCATCCCTGACCCTCCCGCCTCTTTTCTCTGAGTCTTCATTCATTTCATTCACTAAATCACTCTGTACTCTCCCCTGCGTATCTCCTCACCATTTTTACGGTCGGAACTCTTGGCAGTGAGTATTAATAGTATTCATAGTAATACTCTTAGTATTACTACTACTAGCGATGGTGGTCATTTCTTACAGCAGCGATGGTAAACTAATACACACGAATACATGGCAGCTCACAGTTCTATAGCACAGAGAATGTGGCAGGTGCCACTCTGAGCACATTATGTTAAAAATAACCATTCATTTCATCCTCACAGAACCCACGTGAGGTCATTACCATCATCGCTCCCATTTTACAGATGAGGCGAATAAGAGAAGCCATGTCCCTTGCCTGCAGTCCCATAGCCAGTAAGTGGCAGAGCTGGGATTTGAACCCCGGCAGGCTAGATCCAAAGGTCACACTCTGAAGCATCGTGCCGCGTTTTTTTTTGTTTTTTTGTTTTTTTGTTTTTTTGCAATGAATCTATGCTGTAAAAATCTTGGTAAACAAATGAGTTAATGAGTAAATGCTATGCGTTCTTCCCACCCTCCCTTTGCATGGCTGACACAGATGGTGTCTCCTTCCCCCACCAGAGCAGGGCAGAGAGTGGAGTGTGGTTCACCTCTAGGTCCCCAGCGCTGCCCAGCACAGGGCCAAGTCAAGAGTAAAATTGTTAGCCAACAGAATGTGGGCGTCATGCCCACGGTGAGCGCCGCAACGAGCAGCTGCCCAGATCAGACCCGTGTCCCTGCCATACTGCCGAAATCCCTCCAGTGTCCTCTTAGAGCCCTTCGTGACTGTTCCCCTGCCTGCCACCCCAGCCCCAACTTCCATCACACCTACCCGCCATCTCTTTTCTTCAGCCATGTTGGCCTTTCTTCAGTTCTTAGAACTTACCTCGCCCTTCCCCACCTCTGAGCCCTTTGCTGTTCCCCACTGGACTCATAGCTGCGTGAGGACAGAGAAAGTGTCTGTCTCGTTTCTGTTGTGTCTTCAGGACCTGGCACAGATGATACGCTCAGTAAACATTTGTGTTCCGTTGGGAAGACTCTGCCGAATGACCCCGGAGGCTCGTTCTGGAATTTCTGGCTGTGAGCTGGCTAGGACAGAGCCTTTCCCTGAAATCTCACCGTGATTTCAACTTACTCCGAGTCTCTAAACGGTGTTGCCAGCAAATCCTGGAAAGTGCTGGCACCCAAACTCTCACGATCTGGTACCCAAGCTCAGACTAAATTTGCCACACTTTCAACACCATTACTTCGCTTGTTTCGTTAAGAAAGTTAAGAAGCGGGTGTGTTTCATGGCTAATACTCCCTGCTAATTCCCTGGCTCTCACCTCGGGTCCCAGAAACTCTGCTTAACTCCGTGGTTGGTCTCCCAGGGACAACAGGTGTCTGACCTGCTGAGCGAAGGAGCCCCGTCCTTAACTTAATTATTAATTAAATCAAACGCAGCAGGCACAGTGCAGTGTGTGGACTCTGGAACCACACTGGTTGGATTATTTATTTATTTATTATTATTTATGTCTACAGCACCTGGTCTTCCTAGGTGGTCTCCCATCCAAGTACTAACCAGGCCCGACCCTACTTAGCTTCTGAGAGCAGAAATCGGGCTCATTCAGAGCGGCATGGCCATAGACCACGGACCGTGGCACCACCGGGGCGCGAACCCAGGACCTTCTGCGTGTAAAGCAGACGTGCTCACCGCTACGCTATGGAACCACGTCCCACACTGGTTGGATTTCAATCCCTGCCTTCCCACTCGCTTGATGTGCGGCTTCAGGCACGAGTCTCGAACACTGTGCCTCAGTTTCCTCATCTGTAAAGTGGGGTTAATAACACGACAGGGGGGCTGCGAGGGTTATGGGAGATCATACCCAGAAAGCCCTTAGAACAGAGACAGGCATAGACGGGCTCGTGAAAGAGCTTTGAGGAATACTTTCACAGACAAATAAAAACACACAGAAAAGCACAGAGAAAACACCCAGGGACGCACTGCCCAGAAACACCAAGCCTTAACATAGTGCCCTAATTGCTTCTCATTTCTTTTCTTAAGACATAAAATGTTACACCACCTTCTTCCCGACCTCAGGGGAGCCACTATCCTGAACGTGGAGTTTTTCATTTCTATAAATGTTCCCAGTTCTGTATTAACCAGGAAAACACCTACAAACACTACAGAGCATTCTTATATGAACTGCGATGTCATTCGAGGTTAGAAACAAGAGGACTTGTTTCTAAAGGACCCTTCCGTGAACTTGATGTCACTTGATTTTTTTTTTTCCACCGAGGTTGGAGATGTCACGTCAACAGCATGTGCAGCTGGTTCATCCATCTTCCTTGCTATCTGGTATCCTTCTGTTAAGATTTGCCAGTTTATTTGCCATGGTCCCACTGAAGACTGTTGGCAATTTTGAACTATCAAACCCAACACTGAAATAAACGTTCTTACACATCTTGAGCACAACTTGGAGAGTTTCTCAAGGACATACGTCTTCTACCCAGGACAAGGACTGCTGGACTGCACCATACCCTCGTTTTCTACTTTTCCCAATATTGCAAAATGATTTCTCTGGGTACAGAAACTCACTGCCAACAGTTTTGAATTATAACTTTTCATTCTGAAATCTTCGAAGAAGTTGCAACGAATAGAACAGAGTTTCTTTGTACCCTACACCCAGCTTCCCCACGATGTTGTTATTTTAGGTAACTATGGTACAGTTGTAAAACCAGGAATTGCTATTGCGACATTATTCAATCAGTTACGCACCTGATTGGGATTTCATCAGCGCGTCTGAGTTCTAAGAGATTTTATCTAATGTGAACATTTGGGTACTCATTGCCACAATCAGGATATGGAACTATGCCATTCCCTGAATAACTGCGTCCTCCCCCGAACTCCAACCAGCTGGTATGTTCTCCATCGCTATAACTTTGTCACTTTGAAGATGTTCTATAAATGGAATTATACACTATGCAACACTTTGAAATTGCCTTTCCTCCCTTAGCATAATGCCCTTGAGATCCATTCAAGATGTTGCATATGTTGATCCTTCATTCCTTCTTATTGTTAAGAAGTTATTTCATTGTATCGATATGCCAGTTTGTTTATCCATTGGCTGGTTAAAGGACATTTGGGTTGTTTCAGCTATTACGATAAAAGCGTGATGAACATTTGTGTACAGGTTTTTGTGTGAACAATAAATACCCAAGAGCATCTATTTATTAAAAATTCTTTGTTTAACTTTCTTCAAAGTAGTAATATTGTGTACTCAGTGCAATCCATTAATATTTTCATTCAGCAGTCTGTGTGAGCTTGAAACATGTGACTCCCTGTGGGAGGCTCAGGTCGTAATTAAAAGTCTACAAGGGAAGGGAAATGGACAAGTTTGCTGTGGGCGAAGATGGCCAGAACGTTGCCAACTGACTCAGAGAATAATCGCTTGTTATATTTGACATACTAGACTCTAGAGCTCAGTTAATCCTCTTAACTCGCTATGGGTAGGTGCCATTGTGACCTCCGTTTTCCAGAATAGACAGGTGAGGCTCAGAGAGGTAAACCCCTTGTGCCAAGCGATCCAACCAGGAATTGGCAAGGAGGGGTTTGCAACACCCCAGCCTGGCTTCAGAGGTCTTCCGAAGCAGTATGGCCTGGTTTCTCAAACTGTGCTCTCTGGAGGCAGGCAGTTTGCAGGCGTTTATATGCTGGCTGTGAAAGCGAATATGACCGAGGTTCTCTCGGTCTGTTTGTCAATGGGGGCAACAGGAAGCTAGTGCACAGGTCCATCGTGAGAAACTGCGGATGAGGAAAGTAAAGCGTGGAGCTGGGAGGCTCTATTAATATTCATATTAGTAATTCTTTTCTTTACTTTGCTATCCTCTTTCTGAACAATTCCTCAGAGCGCGCGATTTTTTGAGCAGAAGTGGGAAGAAGGAGAAAATGAAGCGGGCCCTATCAACGTTGACAAAAAAAAAGGAAAGCCCTTCCCCTTGCGTCACGTGGTTCTAAGAGTCCCTAGGCGGCGAAAGGGGTCTCTCTCCGGTCCCACCCCCCATAGGGCGGAGCCAACAGTACGTTCGTCCAATGGGAACGCTAGAAGTAAATGACGTCCCGCTGACCAATGAGAAGCGGCGTCGAGGCAACGTGAAGGCGGCTGGGCCACGCCCCCTGTCGGGCAAAGTCTCAGAAATTATCTCCGCAGGAGAAAGTAGCGGACTCTGGATCTCGGCGTTTCGGCGATGGCGCTTCGCTGGGGTATTGTGTCAGCTGGCCAAATCTCCGGCGACTTCACGACCGTGCTGCGGATGCTGCCTCGCTCCGAACACCAGGTGCGTCTTCCCTTCGAGTCCTGGAGAAGAGCAGGCTGGGGGGCCGGGACTCCCGGGTCTGAGGGAGGAGGGAGCCAGGATTCCGGCCTTCCGAGTCCCCCAGGCATTGAAACGACCTCTCATTTTTGATGCACTCCTTGCTCCGCTTCTGTGGTGTGAACACTAGCACTGTGAGGTTTGGGAGCGTCCTGATCTGAGCGGCTGCGATCAGAAATTGAGACACTAGGGAATTCCATAAACGCTTGCCCCAGATCTCTGTCCCTAGACCCAACTGCCCGGCCCCCGTCACCTCATCCCCGGTCTTGGGGAATGTCATTTATGCTTAAGCCAGCGCCTTTTCTATCACCTCCCTCCGATCCGTCTGTCTTCCACGCCTACCCGACGCCCCTCCAGGTGGTGGCTGTAGCGGCCCGAGACTTGAGCCGGGCGAAGGAGTTTGCACGAAAACACGACATCCCCAAGGCTTACGGGTCCTATGAGGAGTTGGCCAAGGACCCTAACGTGGGTGAGTGACGAGGGCCGCAGGGGCCACCGGGGCGCTGCTTCCAGGTGCTCCGTCCGAGATGCAAAGCTCCGCGGGACGGGCCGGTCACTTTGGAATTGCGGAGGGACCTCGGGCTGGGAGGCGGAGCGAGAGGAACGGGTTTGGTCTGAGATGAGCTGTCTAGTATGAAACTGCGTGCAGGAGCCGGGCCTCACGGCGAAAGCGGGGCTCGAATTTCTCAGGGAGCCGCTTCAGGCTTTCGGTGTGTCCCGTGGCCAGTGGCTTCTGTGTCCCGGAGTGGCCTGGATGGAGAGGCAGGGCAGTGTAGTCGGACAAGAGCCTGGCTGTGGGGTCAGGCCACCGGGATTGGCCTTGCCCTCGTCTGCTTGGCCCTTGTCAGTTTCCTTATCTGTAAAACGTGCAAAATGATAGTATCTCCCTCTTGTTGTTGATGTGAGGATGAAACGATTGACTGCGGTACGTTTGGGGGGCCGGAAATGATCTGAGAAAACAGCGGTGGTAGAGAATGGCTAGCCGAGGGTTCCGCGCTGCGCTGGGACCTGGTCCCTGCTCGGGGCGACGCGGGTTCCTCGGAGGCTGCAGGCGGGGCCGGAGGTCTGGGCCGAGCGGGGCTTCTGATCTGTTGACCTCTCTCCTCCCAACCCAGAGGTGGCTTACATTGGCACCCAGCACCCTCAGCACAAGGTCGCGGTGCTGCTGTGCCTGGCAGCGGGCAAGGCCGTCCTGTGCGAGAAGCCCATGGGCGTGAACGCCGCGGAAGTGCGCGAAATGGTGGCGGAGGCCCGGTCCCGAGGCCTCTTCCTCATGGAGGTGAGGCCGCGGGGACCCTTGCGACGTCCAGCGGAGCGCTTCTCGCCATTCCGAAACGTGGTGGCCCGCGGGCATTCTTTGGAGGAACACGGGTTGCGAGGGGCGGGGGTGGTGTTTCCAAGAGTCAGGATGGGCATGAGATGACCTGGGGTGGGCGCGTCGGCCAGGATGTAGCTGAGCTATGCCAGGGACTCTGCTGGCAAGGTCGCTCACAGGTGGGAGCCGCTGCTTCTGGCCCTTAGCAAACGTGTCCGCTGAAGGACCCTTTGTCAGTCGGCCTTTCAGAAAAAGATGCCAGCAGTGAAAGTGGCACCGAATGGCAATGGGCTCGGTTGGGGTGGATGTCCGGGGAACAGAAGTCGGAAGGACCAAGGAACCCCCTACCAACGCTCAGCGTCCAACGGCCTTTGTTTTTGCACTTAACAGACACATTGCTAGCCAGAGGGGCCTTCGACGTCTTGCAGATTGCCAGTAATTAGAACGGCCACCAGAGGGCAGTGGATGGCGGCCGCAGTTAAGAGGGCCACTCAGTGGTCCCCCTAGAAGCTATTTCTCTTTTAAGGAGTATTCTGGTTCTTAAATGCTTTGCTCTAGGTTCTTCCAGTAGTAGTGATAGCTGCCTCTTACTTCCCTGGGTCCTACCTAGCTATCGTGTGCCCAATATGGCTGCGCCTTCCTATCTGCAAAGTTCTACACGCCTAAGAAACAGATTATCAAAATTGATTATGGTTACTCAGTGACTTCTGGTCCTCACCGTACCTTGCCCCTGCTAACATCCTGTGAGTTTATCACTTCCTCATTTTTATCGGCACCTAACACGTGCCCGATCCAACCCTTGAACAGGGGAGTCGTCATGTATAAGACACAGGCTCCGTTTTCAAAGAGAAGGTCTGCCGTGCTCATAGCAATGGGCAGATGACAGCGCAGCAGCCCCGGCCCGGTCTGAGGGATGCTCAGGGAGGTTTCCTGCAGGTAGGGACTGACCAGAGCCTTAAAGGAAAAGTCAATTGCACAGGTAAGCAGGCCAGAAAGAGAAAGCAGGGTTGACTTCCATCAGAATGGGCAGATTTCATGTATTTAGTATGCACTTGATCCTGGACAGGTCGAGATTTGTGGCTTTCAAGTCAGAGTACTCTAGACTCTAGTTCTCTAGTTTCTAGCTCTGTGACCCTGAGCAAGGAAATTGACTCAACTGAGCCTCAGTTTTCTCATCTATGAAATGGACGTAATGATGGCTACCTGGGAGCAGTGTCGGGAGGCTTTATTATGCAAAGCTGGCCCAGGGCGTCTTGTCCGTAATACATAGCCGAGAAACGGGAGATGATGTAAGGCACGCAGGGGAACTGGGCAGGGGGTGACTGGGTGACCTCTAGGAGGAGCGACGAGCTCTCTGGGGCCGTGCTGGGAGTGGACTGGAGGGCAGAGGCGGGGCGTACTAGTGTGCCAGGTCTGCCACAGCAAAGGCCGGCACAGACTGGATGGTTTCACCACTAGCGATTGATCATCCCCCACTTCTGGAGGCTGGAAGTTTGAGGTCCAGGCGTCAGGAGCATTGCTTTCTCCCGAGGCTTCTCTCCGGGGCTTGCACGTGGCCGTCTTCCCCCTTCGCCTCCGTGTGGTCTCCCCTCTGTGCATGCGTGTGTCATTTCCTCTTCCATAAGGACACTAATCCTACTGGACGAGGAGGGCTCACCCTAACGCCCTCATTTGAACTTAATTACCTCTTTAAAAACCCATCTCCAGAGACACACACATCGGGGGGTACTGCGGGTGTTCAAACTTCAACAGGAATTTGGTGGGGACACAATTCAACCCATAACTTTGAGAGGCTGGGGTCATGGTGCAGATGAGAAAGGACGAGGCTGGAGCTGGGGACGTGGATCTGGAGACGAGGGGAGAGGGCAGAGAGAGAGAGTCAGGATCAAAACATAACTTGGGGACTGAGGGGCTGTGGAAAGAAGGGGGAGGGTTCTCATTTGAAGACCAGGGAGCAACAGGTACCCTCTCGAGTTTGGGCCCCAGAGAGGGAAGAACTGGGTGGTTAACTCCTGGGTCCTGACCCCTTTCCTTCCTTTCCTGCACCTCACTTCTCTCTGTGGCCTGCAGGCCATCTGGACCCGCTTCTTTCCCGCCGTAGAAGCTCTGAGGTCTACTCTGGCCCAGGGAACGCTGGGGGACCTCCGCGTGGCTCGGGCAGAATTTGGGAAAGACCTCAGGGGCGTGCCGCGGGTCGTGGACTGGGCACAGGCTGGCGGTGGCTTGTTGGACCTTGGCATCTACTGCGTCCAGTTCATCTCCATGGTCTTCGGAGGGCAGAAGCCAGAGAAGATTTCAGCTGTGGGAAGGCGTCACGAGACAGGTACGGTCTGTTCTTGACTCCGTGACGGTGATAAGAATAATCCTGTCTCACGGGGTGTCCTGAGCTGGGACTAAGTCTCCTCCTCACCCATGAATGTCAGGTTAGACGGCTGGAGGAAGCTCCTGCAGGAAATAAAAGGGGATCCGAGTTGAGAGTGTGGACAGGCTGTGTCCTGCGACTTTGCTGTGGGATCTGAGCCAAGGGACTCAAGCTCTCTGAGCCTTAGTTCCTAATGAAAGATCAGAAGGAGTTAATGAAGTCACCATCGAGGCAAGTTAAGGAGTTAATAAATATCAGCGATTCTTATTTTTTGAAGTTGTCTCGGTGAGCCTCTGCTGCATAACAGACTACCCCGGAATTTAGTGACCCCGGCGATGATGTGCGTCGGCAGTTTGGGCAGGGCTCCGCTCGGCTGGTTCTTCTGCTGGCCTTACTCCCGCAGCGGCCGTCAGCTGGCTCTGCCTCGCTTTCGTCTTATGGGTGCTGGCTGTCGGCTGAGCCTTGCGAGGTTCTCCTGCATTCGGCCTCTGCAGCTGGCCAGCTCAGGCTCGGCTGGTTCTTCTGCTGGCCTTACTCCCGCAGCAGCCGTCAGCTGGCTCTGCCTCGCTTTCGTCTTATGAGTGCTGGCTGTCGGCTTGCGAGGTTCTCCTGCATACGGCCTCTGCAGCTGGCCAGCTCAGACTCATTCACAGCTTGGGTTCAGAGTTCTGGGTGCAGGAACGCCATGTGTTTGCTCCTGTCGCATGGCTCAGAGCCAGCTCAGATTTCAGAGGTGGCCAAACAGACTGTACCTCTGGATGGAAGGAGCTACTAAGTCATGTGGTAAAGGGACACTCTGAGAAATCAGCGAGTTTACCAACAGGACCACGGAAGGCAATGATTAACCAGGAGAAGAATACCTGGAGTGAAGGTCACACTTTAGAAACACTGTGTCAGCCTGATATCTGGCCATCTGTACACTGAGAAGTATCTCTGACAATAGATGCCACTTGTGAAGGGCTTCCTGTGATTAGGGTTATGACAGGTGAGATCTCCCCGAGGTAGATTATGATTGTCCCCATTTTACGGACGAGAAAACTGAGCTGTAGACAGGAGAGACTGGTCCAGCCTCACGCAGCTGGTCCAGAACAAGAAATCGGGCTTATCCGAAACCAGAGAGAACTCTATCGGTAGGTTCTTCCATCCACTGCATGACAGAACCAGGCTAGTATTTTACATGCGACGTTTCATTTTTAATTAATGTTCCTCTGTCACTCGGTGTGATCTAAATACACTCCTAAGTGCTTCGTGCATTTCATATCATTTAATGTAATACTTAGAACAACCCGATGAGGCAGGTTCTATTACCATCCCCGTGTTTGAGATGAGGAAACTGGTTCTCACACGCCTATACGACAAGTATTTACAGAGAAGGAAGCCAAACCTCAGGGAGGTGAAGTCTCTTTGATTTTTTTTTTTTTTAGCACTTATTAGCTTATTTATGTCGATGACGGCTTACTGAAATAGAATTCACATGCCTTACAATTTATTCATTTAAAGTGTACAATTCCGTGGCTTTCGTGTATTCAAAGAGTAGTGCATCTATCACCTCAAAGAATTTTAGAATACTTTCATTACTTAAAACACACACACACACACACACACACACACGCGCACACACACACACACACCCCATTCTCCCAAACCCCCGAGCCCTGAGCAACCACTCATGTACTTTTCTGGCACTATGGATTTGCCAAATATGCGATATTTCATCCAAACGGAAGGCTGCGATATGTGGCCTTTTGTGTCTGGCTTGTCTCAGTTAGCATAAGTGTTGTCAGGGTTCGTCCATGCGGTAGCGTGGATCGGTGCTTCATTCTTTTTCATTGCTGCTTCAGAGACAAGACCTCTCGCCCAAGGTTCCACAGGTAGGATCTGTGGCCAGGCTCGCCCTTGTCCCGTGCCTCCCCCCAGGTGTGGATGACACGGTCACCGTGCTCCTCCAGTACCCAGGAGGGGTCCATGGCACCTTCACCTGCAGCATCTCTGCCGAGCTCTGCAACACGGCCTCCGTGAGCGGTACCAAGGGCACGGCCCAGGTGAGGCGCCACCGGCCGAGCTGGGGTGGGCCCAGGTGTTGGCAACTGTGGCCCTTAGCAGGAGGAGTGGGCCAGCTGTGGCTTTGGAGCTGGAGGTGGGCTGAAGCAGCCTTTTCCCACACAGTTGCTAAGGGATCCATCCTTAAGCTCCAGGTCGTGGGATGGGGTTTGGACCAGCGGGCTCCTTCCTGAGGCTGAGCCTATTGCTCTGTCTAATATTCTTAAGCCTAAGGAGAAACCGTTTTTATCAGTCCCGCTTAGAGGGCAGTGGAGACCTTTGCGATGGCTTCCAAGAGATGATGTGGACATCACTAAGAGCAGCTTCAGTGGGCTTCCCGGGGCCATGTTGCTCGAAAGAAATCTTATTCTTCAAAGAATTTGAACCTTGCCCCAGCTGCATCTCTGTATTTCCATGTTGGCCTAGACTTGGGTATGGGAATAGTTTAGGCTCCTCAGGGATCTGGGGCTGAAAGCAAAAGTCTCCAAGTGGAAGAAGGTGCCAAATCGTCCAAGTCTCCTTGAAGAGGGGATTCACACAGATGCGAAGATAACGCATCCACTCAGAGAGGGATCTGCCCCTGGCGAGACGAACAGACAGGCTTCTAGTGTGACAACTGTGCTGAAGAAAGCCCAGCAGCCAGCGATGGAGGGGGTGTCCAACCCTCCCTGAGGACGCAGGGGAGCCAGCCCTGAGCCAGCAGGTGACTGAGGGAGGCCCCTGAGCATCACAGGCAGTAGGGCCACCTCTTATCTCCCCCCAGATCCTCAGCCCCTGCTGGTGCCCGACAGAGCTGGTGGTGAAGGGGGAGCATAAGGAGTTCCCGCTGCCCCCGGCCCCAAGCCAGGAGTTCAATTTTATAAACGGAGCAGGCATGAGTTACGAGGCCAAGCATGTCCGCGAGTGCCTGCGAAAGGGTAAGGATGTGGAAGACAGCGGGGCGGAGGGGTGGCAGGGCAAGCCTGGTGAGGCACACGGGAGCCTTTCCACCATCAGCCACTTAAGCAGCTGTTGGAGACTCCATCTCTCCGGTGCCCCCAGGACACCATTTGCCTGAATGCATATGCCTCATGGGATTCTGGGAATTGTAGTTCTTTCGGTCTCTTGGGTGTCAGGACAAGGAGTCCACACTGTCCTCTCCCCCAGGCCTGAAGGAAAGTCCTGTGATTCCCCTGGCGGAAAGCGAGCTCCTGGCTGACATCCTCGAGGAGGTGAGGAAGGCCATTGGAGTTACTTTCCCCCAAGACAAATGCTGATGTACGCCCCGAATAAATAAAAACATGGTTTCCACAGAGATTGTGGCGCTGCTGGTTTGGTGGGAGCTGGAGAGAGCCCAGCATCAAAGGGGGCGCTGGAGAATAAATCTGGTGACGGGAGGCGGGGAGGGGAAGGAAGACAGGGTCAGGAACACATTTCCCACGAGCTCCCGGAGCAGACACCTGTGGGCAGAACCATAGTTCCCCCGTGTGACCTTGGGCAAGGAATAGCACGTGAGTAGGAAGCGACCCTAACTGCATCTCCCCCAGCCTCCCTCTGCCTTTGTCTCCTCCTTAGTAAAGGGGAGATCTAGTACTGACCACCCTCTGGCGAGGATTCTGCGGGATGGTATATGAACAGCCCCTGGCACACAGTAGGTTCTCAATGAACAACCGATGACCCTTCGCTTTGAGGCCAGGCCTTTCCCATACTGGCTCGTAGAAGCTCCAGGCCTCCATGATGTCGACAGAAAAGTGGTATCTGCCTTCACGAGTTCCAATGGCCTCATTGGCTAAGCCTGGGTCATAAGCCCCTCCGTGTAGCAGGGATGAGGTCATTCCCACCCAAATTACAAGCACTCGGAGGGGGTGCTATTTGTAGGTGCCTGAATTTGGTGCTCTAGGGAAGATCTAACATATATTTTCTAGTATTGAGTATAGGTTAGGTTATATTCCAGTAAGAAACAACCCCCAAATCTCAGCTTAGCATACCAAGGGTTTTTTCTCATGTTATGTATTGGCTGAGGGTTCTAAGGTCTGTATGTGTCTGGGACCTGGGCTGACAGAGCCAACACAATCTGGAATCTTGCTGGTCACTGTTGCCAAAAAAAAAAAAAAAAAAAAAAAAAAACCCCAAAGAATGCCCTGGAAGTTCTCGTGCCAATACTTCAATGCTCGGACACAGAAACGATATACATAACCTCTTCTAATCTTTCGTCTGAAATGAGTCATATGACCTCAACTAACCGTAGACAGTCCAGGAAGTTCAATTCTACCAGGTTCCAGAAGATGAAGATAGATATATTCTATTCTGTGTCCCATTACACTTCACTCAGCTATCACTACATTGGTTTCAGCCCTCTGCTTGCTTGGTTTCAACCTTTTAATTGTATGGCAGAGATGGCTAGAAGTCCCGTTATTAATCATCCCCCTGTAATAAATAGGGAAGCTTCACTGGACACTTGGCTGCACAGCTAAAGACTACATCTCCCAGGCTTCCTTGCACCTAGTTTCTTGCCATGTGAATAGCTTTTGGCCAATGGGATGTGCGGCATCTGAGTTATGCCCTTAAAAGGCAAGGAGAATGGCATCTCTTTCAATGTCTCCCCGCTACTGGAGTGAAGGTGTGGTGTCGTGCACTGGCCTGACCATGTGACACTATGTGATGGAAGCCATGTGTTGTGGATGGCGCAGCCACACAGCGAATATGGAGGTGGGTGAGCCTCAGCATCTGCAGGGTGCATTGGCAAACTGGAGACCCAAGAGAGACAATGTGTAGTCATAGCCCAAGTCCGAAGGCCCGAGTCCCAGGAGAGCTAATGGCGTGGTTCTTGGATGAAGCCTGGCAGCTAGGGACCCAGGAAGAACCAGGAAGAAAGGAAGAATGTGATGTCCTAGTTCTAAGACCGTCGGGCAGAAAGAATTCTTACTTGGAGGAAAGGCAGGCCTTCAACTGATTGGATGAGACCCACCCACATTTGGGAGAGCAATCTGCTTTTCTCAGTCTGCCGATTTAAATGTTAATCTGGTCCCAAAATACCCTCGCAGAAATATCCAGAATAGTGTTAGACCAGATATCTGGACCCATAAAATTAATCACTGCAGTCCCGACGCTGTGTTACTTTACTCGTCTTTAATAGCACTTGGGATTTCATAGTCTCGAACTGTTACGTCAGAGGGAAATAAACTTCTTAGTTGTTTAAGCCACCGTTATATTAGCCTTTGCTAAAGCGGCCGAATTGGTGTGCCACCTTATACTTTCCAAAGATAGCTCCTGTCCCCGCTCACTGCCCCCATTAAGAAGCGGAGCCCTAGAAAGTGAATGGGCTCATGACTCATTTGTTGCCCTTGGAACATGGCAGAAGCGATGCCGCAAGACTTCTGAGGCCAGGTCGGGGAAGACAGTGCGCTTTCTCGTTAGATGAAATAATCTTGAAATCTTCAGCCATCATGTGAGGATTTTCACTGACCTGAAGCCACCGAGCTTGTGAAGAAGCCCAGGCTAACCTCCCAGAAAGAACCACATGGAAAGCCATGAGGCTCCAAAAAAAGAAGTGTCCCATCAGATCCCGGTCAAACCCCAGCTAAATCTGTCGCAATGTCGTTACCCATAGGCCTGTGAAAGATAATAAAATGATTGTTGTTTTAAGCCATTAAGCTCCGGGCTGATTTCTTACATGGCAATAGCTTTCCAGTAAAACTGGCGTGACCTTTACAGTGTGAAAGATGGATTCGTTTTTAAGATGTCTAAGCAGAACTAGAACCCCCAAATCCCACCCATTGTTTTCCACCCCAGAAACGTTCCGAGTTCGGCCATCGGGGCCCTCTGCCACTGAGGAACTCAGCACCGACTGCACGTTATTCCTAGGCTTTGCTGCCCTTCTCCGGTGTGCAAAGTGTTCTTCCTTTCCTGGCACAGTCATCACTTTCTAAGAGGCCCTCAATGACCTTCACCTCTTGATAGTCACATCCTTGTGTGACCTCCTCTCCTGTGAGTGTGCTGGATCTAGTGACTTGCCGCTAATAGCAGAAGTTATGGTATGTCCCTTTGCAGACTAGGTTGTAATTGACCGTGACTTCAGTCCTGCATGCTCACTTTGATGAAGCCAGCTGCCATCTTGTGAGCTGCCCTGTGAAGAGATCTCATGGCAAAGGACTGAGGCCGTTCTGTGGCCAGCAGCCAGCAAAGAACTGACTGAGGCTCTCATTGCAACATCTCCTAAGGAACTGATCATCCCAACCACATAAGTGTGCCCGGAACTGCATCCTTCCCCAGTCGAGCCCTCACATGAGACCATGACCCCAGCCAACACAGCTTTTTTATAGCCTTGCGAGTGCGTGTGGAGCAGAGGACCCAGCTAAGCCACGCCCAGATTCCACATATAACATAACTGGCAAGAGACATCTCTAACTGTAAAATATCTGTAAACTGTAATTTTCTTTGTTACAAAAATCAAAATACTGTCTTATTTCTCTTCTCTTTAAATATACAATAAGCAGCAGCTTCTACTAATAATTATGTGTAAGAGAATGTAAGAGAGATTTATTGTGACCAGCAGGCCATGGGAGAGCTGTGAGTGGGGGAAGGCAAGGGTCCGCTACAAGGATCCATGTAGGGCATGGGCTGCAGGGGAGGGACAGGAGGCTGAGGCTTGTAAGTGGGGCAGAGTAACAAAGCCACGTCCAAACGCCATAGCTGTCAAGCCGGAGAGCTGAGAGCACCTGTAAGAACTTTACCACTTAGGCAAGCCCATCTCCCTCTCTGGGCTCTGATTTTCTCATCTGTATACAGGCCTTAATTATCCTAGGTGCTCCCCAATTGCTAAGTTGTAAAAAAGAGACTTACTGGTCTATTTTTCTTCATATTTGATACACCACTAGAAACAAGGCTTGGACATTAGCAGTCTACCCTTAATAAAGGTCTTTATCCAACATCATGTGAGCTGAGACAGGCAATAGGCTAGATGGTGTGATTTTAGAGACTAAAGTTTCCTTTACCCCATTATACCAGAAAAGCGGATGGAGAAAGACTCACTTGTCTATCCTAGGTGTATTAGTTATCTATTGCTGTGTAACAAATTGCCCCCAAATTTAGCAGCTTAAAACAATAATAAACGTTTATTATCTCGCACAATTTCTGAGGGTCAGAAACCCATGAGTGGCTTAGATGGATGGTTCTGGCTTAGTCTCCCTCATGAGCTTGCTGTCAGGATGCTGGTGGGAACAGCTGTCATCAGAAGGCTTGAAGGGGCTGGAGCATATGCATCCAAAGTGGCTCACTCATGTGGCTGGAGGGCTTGGTTCCACACACATGCGTTTCTCCGGAGGAGGACTGCTTGAGTGTCCTCACAACGTGGCAGCTGCTTTCTCTAAAGCAAGCGAATGAAGAGAGAGCAAAGCAGAAGCTATGGTGACTTTTATGACCTAACTTTGGCAGTTACATTGTTTCTGCAATACCCTATTGGTCAGTCCTATTCAGTGTGGGAGAGGCAGGAACACCTGGAGGTGAGAATCACTGAGGCCCATGATAGACGTAGGCTTCACAGTTCCAATATAGCATCTTTATTATTGCAAACAATTTCGTCTTTGGAATTTAAAGTCTTCTCCCCTCTACTCAACGGCTGTACCCTTTTGAGGTCTGTGGTCCCATTAAAAACCCTTCCTTCCGTCTCTGTAACTGAGGTAGAAGGAGAGCTCATTCACTGGGCCTGAATAACAGCCGCAGATAAAGCCTGCTTCAAAATTAGCAGGAAACACCATGTCTCCCAAGGACACGCTTTCTTACGCACAGAGAAACATCGTTCTCTAAAACTGTAAAGTGTTGGAAATTCACTGTCGCCATAAAACAGTCCACTCTTGCTGTAGAATCGAAGTCATTTGATACACATTAGCGACCCTGATTTCCAGTCCCCGGTACAGCTTCAAAGGCTTTGGACCCAACACTCCACATCCACATTTAGCTTGTAGTTTCCAGGGACATAGGACCCTGGTTCTTCTTCGCAGTCCACATCCGATGTCGCCCCTGCTTTGCTTTGAGCCTATCATGCAGTTGTCACCTAAACTCCACCCTTCCTCCAAATTCTACAGTAACTCAACTATCTTTTCCTTGTTTGTCAAGATGCTCCATGGTTTCTCCGTTGTGTGGGCTCCATCATTGCAGTGGATCAATAAACTTGACTTTTGCAGACTGTGTTCCTGGCGACGTTAGGCCGATGGCCTGGAACTCCTATCATCTTCAATTGCCACGGCTCCCAGCCTCCCTTGGGACATAGATTCCTTCTCTCCTTCATCTGACTCCAGCCTATTTTTCTAATACGAGTT